AAGGGTGCCTATTTCTCTTTCCTGCTGGAAGGGGAAACTGGTAAGACCAGCACAGATGTGGGTTTCTGTGTAAAAAAAAAAAACAAACACACGTGAAATTGGCCAAGAGAAATCCTACATGATACAACACCCCAGATGATTCACGTTACCCACTACCCACACCCTAGTGTTCTCCTAGTCTTGCAAATGCTAAGGTAGAGATAAAGAGAAACTTCAAGTACAACATGAGTCTTCAGCAGTTCTTTATGCGACTCCTAGTCCCACAGAACATCTGTAACATCTACTGACTGGAAAGTACTGAAAGTACCATTGTACTTTCCACAGATCTAAATATAAAGTGGTTCCATAAAAACCCACAAACTACTAGAATTTAAAACTTACAGTAAAAGACTACAAGGTATGTAGAAGGTTACACAAATAAGGAGGCTGATAAACTGAATGCTTGTGTCCTTTACAGTTGCCTAAGAATGTATTCATGACACTATCTTAGTAGTCAGACACCAACAAGTTCTTAGTTATAGATGTAGTAATGTATCCCCACCCTCAATAAATAGTTATTAAAACATCCGTTAAAACTGCAGAGTCCCAGTCCTACCCTACCCGTTTTTTCCGTATCAAAACTTCTCCAGGCAGCCACCTACAAAAGGAGAAAGCACCCTCCTTAACAGACTAGCAGATCTTTAGTTCAAGGGCACCTAATTCCACCTTCCTAGCATCCTAAGGTGTTACTGAAGCAAAGGTGGTACTGCAGTGCAATAACAAACTCCAAGACAGGTTTCCGAAGATCATTTTACAAATACAAAAATAGGCAGTCTCTCTAAATTAAACACTGACCCCAGCACACCACCTTACTCAACATTTTCTAGCTGTTACTTCTATCTCCTCCCTTCAAATTTCCTTGCCTAAAAATCCACTCCAGTGCCATAAGCGTCTCACCACAGCTTCTGGAGGCTCAGCAGGTTTATAATTCAGGTGTTACATGTTCAGGTTAATATGAGATGTGTATGGCCTTATTTTAGATTCCAGATTTTTTCAGACTTGGCCAGTTGCTCTGTTGTCTGGCATGGATGCTTTGACCCAGCTGCTAAACCCATCGGTGCCTGACCTGCTGCCAGTTACTAGAGCATGGACTCCGGATGGAGACAGTTGAGTCTTACAGCACTAATAGTAAATTGACCAAGGAAGCAGAATTTCTGAAGGCAGGTCATCTGACAGGTTTTTTTGGGGGTGCATGCAATGAAGAAAGGATGTTTTGCTTTTGTTATCTAAAACAAAAGTATCCAATTTTCTAATTTTCCTCAATTGGTCAATTATTGCAGATTGCAAATGACAAACCTCAAATAACACAGAGGTTTCTTAAGGATAATTACTAAATGGTCTTTGGGCAAGTACAGCTTACCACCACAATGAGCCCAGAGAGAATACATTTCAGTAGTTAACATTTTGGTATCGGATGCAATCTCTGAAAGCCTTTATCTGTACTATGATGATATCATAAGATCATAATGTTAGAACCAATGTAATTGAAAACAATGTCTTTGCTTCCTTCGTTTAATGACAAGAAGGCCGGCCCCACAAAAGTGATTGTACAAGTAAGAACTGTAGTGATGTGATTGAGTACGCTTGCACTATTTTGATCAGGATTTTGAACTAGTATTTTGAGTTTGTTCCTTGATATTGTCATCAAAATACCTGTCAGTCTTACTGTTGTTGCAATACTTCAACAGGAGCTACTTATTTGTCTCAGGCTCTGATGTTTAGTGTCATTTTCAGTGGGGTTTGTTTGATCAAGCACCCATTAGTAGATTTTAGAAATCTTAGCAACTACGTAAATTCTGTTTTCATGCTGATGAAAGGCTGGATTTCTTTTTCATTTATATGGATCAATTCTTACAAAAATTCTCTATTTCTGACTGGTTTTATGCTGGATGCTACTTAAGCAGGAAATTTAAATCTTGTCATGAAAAATGGAAGTGTTTTCAAGAAAAGCTAGGACACCAAAGTTAGAGGTTATTTTTATTAAAGTGTGAATTTGTTTTAGAAGGGACTTGCAAATGTATCACTTATGATGGTAGGCCTGTATTTCCTTCTTTCTAAGTGCAGCATCTAGATCTTCAAATACAAGGGGAGTATAAACAAGGTAGAAGGAAACCACAGATGAGTGAATGATCTGTTCTATGATCCAGCCCATTTCATGGTGAAAGTCTTCCGGTGATAACGCTTTTCACATCCCCAGGTCTTATTTAACATGTGTAACAAATCTTCAGAATGCCCCTAACTTGGGAAATAAGCAAAATCCTTCAGTAGTAAATTTGCCAACACAATACACAAGTGTTTAAAAATGGAGAAATTCCAGGTTCCCCAGCCAGGACTTGAACCTGTGACCTGCTGGCCCAGAGGTGTGAAAGCACTCTCTCGAGCCAATGATATCACTTTAAATGCTACAAACTGAAGACATGTCAGATGAATCATTTATTCAGTTCAGTCAGCTTTGAATTTTTCTTGGTAAATGTTCCTGAAAACAGAGAAAGGCTTCCAGGTTTCTCTGTGTGTGTGTGCACGTGTGTGTGAGGACACATGAGCATATACTACCTCCACTAAGAAATGTAAACTTGTATGTTTGTTCTGACATAATAAAGATTCAATATGTTTTTATTTTTTTAACCATCTACATTCCAATCTGATGATTTAAAGTATTTGGGATCAAAGTATGCCTCATAGTTTCAGTTAAAGCAGATACTTTTCAATGCATATTAAACTTCACGTAAAAATTATCTTACGTCCGGAGGAAGAAAGATGTTGTGATCCAACATAATGCTCTTCAGCTTTGACTGAGGGTCATCCAAGTGACATTAATATCATGTTATCCATCAGGAACCTTTATGTCTTTTTTTTTTAATGAATTTCTCAAGTTTCTTCATAGACCTAGTTGGGATCTGCACCCCACTGTTGTCACAGGATTGCTGCTCCAGAATCCTGTGGTCCTCATGATCAAAATCCATCTAATTTCAAGCCTAAATATGTTCAGATGGAACTTGTTCCAATTTTTTCCTCACATCAGCACTGTTATTTAACTTAAAACTTGTGGGAATCCTCCATGATCATGCTGTAGCGGGGAGTCTTACCATTTTCAGCCTTTGTTCTGCATCTAGGTTTGGCTTTTTTTGTCTTCCCTTGTAAGACAGGTTCTCCATTCCCTGACCATCTTGGTAGTCTTTCTCTGTTCCTTTTCAGATTTATCCTGCTTTAAATGTAACTAGGTAGAAATCTTCAGAAGCAAGTCTTGTACCTACCTGAACTCTCTCAGGAACAGCTTTCCTTCCTTCTCTCAGGATTGCATCCTTGCATGACACAGATGGGTCACTGTCACCATGTGATTAACTTTGTACAAAGAAAAACTTTATTCTGCTTTATTTTTCCACCTGAGGAGCTCCAGGTCATAGCAACAATTCTTGCTATTAGCTACTGCCTTGTATTTTTTTTACTATTACATTTCGTTCCATTGCAATTGTTATTCTAGCAGGTGTAGTAATTCAATGCCTGGGAATGTCCTCCTATAAGATTTGTTCTGACAAAGACATTTCAGAGATTTCCATATCTCATAAATAAAACTGCTGTCATGCCCTGTTTTTCTTCTTCAGTCTCTTTCTGGGGTAAGCATCAGCTAGCACTTACTCCAGCCAACATCATCAAAATCAGGCACTTTTTGCTGCACTTCCAAAGCAAACTCACACAAGTAAAGATATATAAGAACAGGTTCAGAGACCTTGCAAGTAAATTATAAAAACATAAAACCCAAGCAGACACAAACAACCACATTAATGCTTCACTGAGCTTCTCTATGTAGTTTTAAGTCCAGGGTTCTTGCTACAAGTAAAACATGTACTGCTTTAGCCACAACATTATGGTTAGAGTAACACAAGCCCATGTGAAAATCCAGGTATGATCAGAATAAAATGCTTTACCAGTGTAGCATGGTATTCCTACATGGAAAATGATATTTCTGAAAGACACATTTGTAGTAAGAAAACTACATCCAAACCTTGGAATAGTTTGTATGGGGGAGAAGTTAGTATGCTACCAGACTGTATATACCAGGGCTGACATACCTCAGGCACAGCATGACATATACCTATGCTGCTTCCACTGGTCTCTTCTCCAGTCCCTAGTCCCCAGAAGTAAGTCTGTGTGTCAATGACAACATTTCTGTCTGTATCTGTTTAGCTTTTGTAGTCACCACAAGAAGCAGCTTCTACCTGAAATATCTTGGAACAATGTCTAATTTCTAAACACGTAAACAAAATACAGTCTTTTAAAAATATGACTGTCAGTCAGCTTTCTTTAACATTAAGTTATATTCCCTGGAAATTCTTCAGTCCTTATTGGTACTCCATTTCCCTTATCTATCTTAAATTGCTCATCTATACATTTGATAATATCTGAGTATATAGCCATATAATAACAACTCATACTTTGATAGGTTAGCGATTCTAAACGACAACTTATCAGATACTTATCAGGCAAACATATCTAATTGCAGCCAGCCTGGCAGAATATCGCACTGAAAAATGCATCTGAATGTATAATACCAGCAACAAAAATCCAAACCAGTTATGTAGCCTGTTGAGTATCATGCGTGTGTGTGCATGTGAACTGCATCTGTATTTTCATAGATGGTTTTTAATTTGTCAGTCATGTTAAGGAACTCTGCTACCCTTAAAATGCCTTCCTGTTTCCACTGAGGTTCTAAACTGCCAATGACTGATAGTTCCACCTGAAGGAAAGGGGTCCTATAAGTGCCAAAAAATAAAAGCAGCTAAATTTTAAAAATCTAGACTGTAATGATTTCCCCTTAATTAATGAGAAAAATTTCCATTAGTTCTTGAAGGGTTAGGTTTTTTGTTCTTTCTTATGTTAGTAGCCCTAGTATAAATACAAGGGATTAAACTGATTAAGTGTTTCAGAGTTCATTCCAAGAATTGACATGTACGTTTCCTTACCTGACTCCTTCATAGGACACAGTGCACACTGCATGCCCCAGGCTTCACCGTATAGGCAACAGCACTCAGTATATGTAGTCTGCTTTCCAACCAGAGGTCGACTACAAACAAAATCATCACTTAGATGCTGCCAGCAAAGATCCTGATAGACCTCTGTTTCTTCAGTTTGTTCTGATGGAGAAGACAGTATTAGATCATCATTGCAGCACTGTTACTTAAAAAAGATACTCGCATAATGCAGAATTTTCTAAACTTGGATAAGAGAAATAACCTAGCTTTACAGACTTTGCTGAATACAAGTTTAAGCTTAGAAGTCATGACCATTTTTAAGTGCCTGAGGTGGCTCATCCCTTGAGTGTTCATCTTTGCAAAAATCTTAAAAGGTTCTGATTTGGCACTAGTAGGCCAATTTAAAAGCACATTGGGTTGGACTCCCAAGAAATAAAACTCCCTAAAGCAGTAGTCATTGCTGAATGCTTATACTGACTCAGCTCTGCTCTCATGGAATTTAACAGAGCTTGACAAAAACTAGTGTTAGGACAGAGGTGAATATTTGGGGAACTCCATCCACGGAATGAATCTTTAAAAGTTGTTATTTTACTTTTCTTATATTGCCATCAATGGCATCTGAAAGAACTTTTACAGCTAGGGCAGAGCTGAACAAAAATTTTACATGGGCTCAATGGGAGACTGAACAAATACTTGGAAGAGTGTCCCATTAACTAAATGGACAAACTACATCAGGCTCAGGAAATCCCCTGAGCTGAAAATAGCTGGAGGCTGTGAGAGTGCTGGGGAGAGTGAGGAGAAGTATTGTTTATCTGCTCTTCTGGCCCCTAATCATCCACTTACAGCTATTGTTAGAGACAGAATACTGCTGTGAACTACTGTCACATTCTTATGAACATTAACAAAAACATGTATTTTTGTCAAAGCTGGAATATTTCAGAGGCATACTAGTTCTGACAAAGATCTCAGTAGGAACAATTCCTAGTCCTAGCAATCTCTGATCACTGCTGATGGGAGGGAGAGGAACTGCAAACTTAATCTTCCACTTGGAATGTAAAAACCTCAGCACAATTGTTTTGTAAAGACATCTGCAAGGTTTTGATTTTGTTCCAACGTAGAGTGAAAAATAAGTGTTGTCACAAACTAAGGTTCTGTTTTGTCTGTGCCTATCTATTAACTGCATTTTTACGTGATGCACTGGTGCATGGGTGAGTATAGAATTGAAACCTAGCTCAAGAGTAAAATGGTGAGTTCTGAAAGTGCAAACATGATCAGAATTTAGATACCTATTCTACAAAGGACTTTACAGAACGCAGTAAAGAGCAGCAGCGGGTCTCTGCAACCAACTCCAAATTCTGCTGGCAGCAAAGGAACCAGCCTGCCCCCTCCTCCTCTGCATTAGGGACGACATTGCCAGTAGTGATAACGAGGCTTGAGCGCTTTGTGCTGGGTGAGATGATCATTGCGGTATCAGCCCCAATGTTGCACGACGGAAGACCCTTTGGGCCCTTGCATTCTCTTCGCATCCTAGATGAACCCAAAGGATAGTCCTGCTCTTGGTTTGTTTAACTGAAGATTGAATAGAAGTGCTGTGGTTCTTTCACAGTTTCAGGCAAGAGGATGACCACATTACTCCCCAAAAGTATCAGTCGTATAATTTGGAGTCACTAAAGCAGGCATTCAGTCTGTATTCCCATTTCCTTTCACAGAAGCATCTTAGGAAAATTCATTGCAAGTTGCAGGGACCAGAGGTCTGGATTTATGGCTAGACAGTGCCAATATTAATCAAACCCATTGTAACATTTGTTTCAAAGATGTATTGCGTGTGGCATAGACAAAGCTGTGCAGACTGCATAATGCTCTGGATTTCTGAGATGTTTCTAAGAATCTCATAATATCTAACGTTTTTTCTGAAATCAGTGTCTGCTGAAATTAAAAGAACATGCAAAAACCTTACTTTAACAGTGACACTGCAGCCCACAGCTTGAAAATGTGAGCTCGATGTACCCTCAATATTAATCAATTGAAAGCACAGATACAATTTCAGCTATTTCCTCCTATACCCTGTTATTCCTGGTTTTATTCCTTGCTTTGTTAGAACTCCGAACTGAATTTCCAGAGTTAGCCCACAGCCAAACCCCAGCCTTAGTGAGACAGCAAGCAGGCTGTGCCTCATTACCTACAAGGCTGGATGAGGCAGACACAGAGCTGGTGAATCAGGAGGCTGAAGACTCCCCAGCCCAAGCCTAATCTCATTAATACTTCCAGCAATCTCCTGTCTGCATTGGCAAAGTGGAGCCCTGTGGAGTCCTACATCACGATGCCTTCTGGATCAACAGATGATGGTCCAAGCATTGCCTTCCAAAATCCTCCAAAAGAGCAGGCTCATCCAAGCATGACCCAGTCTAAGCTTACTGGGGTCTGTAGCCATGTCAGCACCACCTCGTAGAGGCGTACTCACTTCAGTAATATGTATAATGGATCATACCACTTGAATCTGCTGGTCTGATGCATCGCTTTTCTGTTGCGTCCAGAACCATTGGGTGTGTACAGAAACAGTTGTAAGATCCTTCTGTGTTAATGCACTGGCCATCAATACAGCTGTTTGGGTCCTGACATTCATCCGTGTCTTTAAAATGGAAGGAAATGAATCAAGGAGAGCCAGCACAAAGTAGTTGCATTGTGTTAATCCATGTTTATATTTTCCTATATTAGGAGCAGATTTTGTTAATTACCACAAATAGCAATTGCTGGCAGCAAAATCCTGCCTGTGCCCATGGCCAAGGACAGACAGATCAGCAGGATGCTGACCTCTAAACCTCAAGTACTAGGGAGTATCTGGATGAGGAGGCTTGCTGGGAGGGCTGCAGTGCTAGGCATGCCTTGCATCCAGCACAGCTGCAGCCGCTTCCCACGTTCCTATCCCTTTAGCACAGTACCAGCAGGCATTAGAGGTGGGCATACTCTCTGAGACTCTTCACGAGCTGGTCAGGAGAAGGGATCACCTTATCTAGCCACAGTAGTTTTATTCCTTAGTTTGACTTGGAGAGGAAAAGCAGAAAATTAGCTCAAAGGGAAGAGCAGGCCATTTTACTTCAAATAAATTACATTGAATCAGCAAAAACCCCACCCTTTGTAAAGAACAACCATAGAATCCTAAGGTGAAAGGTTCTCTTATTGCGGTTGCAAAAATTACTTCCTTTCATTATGCTATTCTGCACATTATACATGGTTTTCTGCTTACAAAGCGAAAGCCAGGGTCACAGTTATGAGTAATTCTCTGTTGAATACCAGAACCAAAGGAGTACAAGGCTGTGCAGACTAAAATGGGCTTATCAATGACCTGAACTGTAATTTCACATTGCATATTAACTCCTTGTGGAAAATGTGTGTCCTTGAAAAAAAAAAACAAACAACTGCGTTAATTTGATTTATTGTAGTAAAAGCAGCACACTTACCAAATGAAAGGTGAGCTTCAACATACAGGCTTTCACTGCTCACCCCATGTACAAAGAACAGAAGGCTAAATTGTACCTTGGCAGAGTGAAGCAGCAGTGCGCATTTAAGGAGGGAGCCACCTCCGATCCCTTTGTGCTGCCTGCATAAAGGCTGGTACCAGCTCTAGACTATGCACTCAAAGGAGCACAAGGGGCTGTTTTGGAGATGGAAACTCCTGGGAGCAATTTGCTGAGAAAGGAAGCAAATAAAGCAAGCCCTGCTCTACAGGCCATTGCCATGTCAGCCAGAATTGCTGCCCAGCCAAGCAGAAGGGAAGGGAAATGACCCAATGCCTCTTAAAAAGCTGCTACGGGAGTTTGGAGTCCCAGTGTTCCTCCCCTTGTTGGGAATACCGCAGTTCTGATGGGAATCCTGCCGTACGAGTCTGCTTGTTTTGGCCATCTGCATACCATTATAGTGACAAGACCACTTTAAATAAACTTACCAAAGCATTGGAGCTTAACAGGGTCATAGTATGTGCCTTGTTTGCAGTAGCACTCGTAACCTGGCTGCGTATTCAAACAGAAGCCATTTTTACAGATTTCTTGTCCAAAGAGTTGGCATTCATCAGCATCTGGGGAGAAAACATTAAAGGCTGTGTTACCATAATTATTATGAGGCCATGCAGAGGAGCAAGATGGAATAAAGCCTATACACTTCTCTGTTCAAGCAAACTTCACTTTAAACAGAGGGCCCCAGGAGCACAGATACCCACAGGAAAAAAAAAACGGTGTGGAAGAGGCTACGATGTGCTCATAGCCAGAATGGGAAAGGCAAAACTGGTGGACCATGACTTTCGCTTTCCTTGTCAGAGTAAGTCCTGTGGCACGCAGAGACTGGAAGTACCTGCAGCTCCCTTTTCTTTCCTTTGGTACCACATTGCTCTTAGCTCCAAGCAAAACAGATGAAGAATATGGCCTGTATTTTCCAATATAATTTGCTTTACCCAAGGGATTCCCACCTAATTTAATTGCACCATCTAATTACAAAACTAACTAAGCAGTTATGCTTATGGATGGACTTTGTGACTGCTCTCCTCTCTCCACACAGTTTGGTGACTCTGCTGTGCGTGGTAGGGAATCTTCATATCCGCACTGCTTGTTACTTCATTTTTTAAAAGCTATATGCACAACTTCTGTGGAGAATTCCTATCATATAGGAACAATTGTGTCTGCTGCTAAATATAAGGCTGCAACTGCTCTAGACCTAGTGACAACTGACAAAGAGAATCTACCATACTTTCAAATGAGGATAAGTGTTTTCAGGGAGATTTCATGGAAAATATATGCCAGCTCATATATAGCTTTTCACAGTTGTACACGTTTTTTCCCAGTCTTGTACTTATGTATTTGTTACTGTTGGAATTCCATTTGCTTCCTTTTTTCCAACCTACTTTTCATTTGCTAGACCTACCTAGAATAGTCTGTTAAAGCTAGGCTGGTATTAAAAATGGCAATAAAAAGCACAATGTGAAGTAGGTGATTCTCCTCTCAATACCAATTGTCTTAATCCACTGTCTTCTATAGATTTACTCCCCATTTACTCTGAGGCAACACAGATTTTAGCCCAAAGCTGTCATTTCCAGCTGTACAGCAATTTTAAAGGTGAATTACACAAATGCTTACTTTTTCCAGAAAAACTCAAAGTGCTATAAAGCTGGTTTTTTTTTACAGCTACTCTTCCAGCCACTAAGTGGCTTCAACATTAAATATTTTAAGTTTGACTGTTTAGCAGCAAGAACAATGCAAATGTCAGGTACGCGTCTGTCTTTTTCCTGTGGAACATGGATTTGTGTCTGGGGAAAAATGGGAAAGCCTGGGAGTAGAGTCAAGGAAGGCTAGCTGAGTGTATTCACTTCTGACAGATAATTCCAATTAAGAATTAGATTCCTAAGAAAATAGGAGTTGTTCCTACAAGCAGAAGGTTGTGGACAAAAGCAACAGGAACATAGGAGTTAGTGTAACAGAGAAAGATCGCATTACTACAAGTACATTTATTGTTTGTCCTTTGTGCCATTCCTACAGTTATTACAAAATAAACTTATTGAGAACAAAAAGAGTCATATTATGGCAAGGATTTGTGGAAGATATTTCCAGATGAACTATTTCCACACTTCAATATTTATGGCAGCTAGAGATATTATCGACCCTGAGGCAGCACAACAAAAACAATGCAGATTTTCTCTGAGACACATTTGGACATACTGTACACACAGCATGTCCCAAATCTACATTGCAAAGATATAAAGAAATCTTAGATCTGCAAAGATAAACAACACACTTAAACAATCCCTGAATAAAAATACTGTCAGAGAGTATTAGGTCCTTTAAGATGAGTTCTGTGACTGTTCTGACTTGTCTAGATGTAAATTGTCAGTCTGTCCAATAGTGGTCCCTGCTACCATCAGTCTCAGGTCTGGATTCATTCCATGGCATTTTGTTCTTTCCTCCAAGTTGGTGGACAAAGCGACACCTCCAGAGAGTGGAGGTCTACGTGTGAGTTACCCCATTTAAATGCCCACATTAGTTTGAATGAATCTGGGTATTAGCGCCTTATAATCTTTAGTATCTTTTCCATGTCCCATGAACTTTCCAGGTGCAAAGAAACACCTGCTGAAGATAACACAAAAAGATGGACAGAGAACTGAACTCAACCATGGTTTAGTCACTAACTCGATAGGAAAACCGTCCTAGTCAGTGAGGAAGGACAGTTTGAAAAAGTACATGTGACAATTGCTAGGAAAAACCCCAAAAATCTTTTAAGACCCACCAATGTTTGTCATCTCTCGGAATTAGGTCTGGCAGATTAGTGATTTAGCTAGAAGCAACTCTGACAAATGCTTATCTACCAATCACGTGATACTATGCCTCTTTTAAGGTCTTTTAAAAATAGTGAATTTTACTGCATTTGTGTGTGATATGAACACACAGTACTTTCTACATGTAGTTTTTGATTTGTAAAACAGCAATTCCAATAGGAACAAATATATAATGTGTGTGATTTTCTAAAGATCCTGTAGCTGCTATGTAACCCAAAGATAATATGTTGACTTCATTTTAGCTAACACAAATACAGTGTGTTTATGCCAAGTAAAATTTATTTCACAAATTGTTAATATTGATGGCTACTTCTGAAACTTGAAAAGGAATTTCGCTGATCACACTCTTCCTTCTTAGTGATGCCAACTCCCTCCCGCCCACCCCCACAAACCCCTTCTGTCACTTGCATTTCTCTACAATGTTTTGTTCGATACTTATTTCATGAAATTCTGTAACAAAAACATCATTGCTGAACTTCTCTTCATTTTTTATATTCATTCTCACTTGTAGGTCTAATGTTTAACAGAACTTTTTTTCTCTCTCCCAACTCCCCATACATTTATTTACAAATTTAAGGTGGCTTTGTATTTCCTATATAAATGAGTATTTGAGGTTTGTGGTCTTAGCACCTACTCTCAGAGTATATAGCACTTAGTATAAATTAAACCAGAATATTACAGAGACTTTATAATTGACATTCTTAACAATCTGTCAAATGATGATTTTCAGTAATGTGTCATATCACAAGCTGTTTTTGTCACCTAATAAAATTTGAATTAGTATGTTTGCATCGCTGGCTCACATTTCTAGTCAGTCAACTACCAGAACTTCTGAAATAAACTTAATACAAGTCAGTACTAACCTTTATAATTCTGAGCAAGAAGCCCGTAAGATGATTCTCCAGAGGGAATGAAACCTTTTCCTTCAGGACACAAATCAGTAAATTCAGCTAGGAGAGAGAGAAAACAAAAAAATTATGTGGCTAAGAAAAAGTTACTCACATATGTACGTGTTACATATGTGTTTCAGGGTATTTTGAGAAATCCGAGGCAACGTTTTGCCTTACTCATATCTATCAGGCAATCATGCATACCTTTAGCTAAATGGGGGCTGCTAATGCTACAGCCAGACTTTCCCCTGCTCTCAGTTTGCAGAGCTAGCTTTGAAAAACCTAGCTAGGGTACCCACAGCATCACAGATCTCCATGCAAACTAATTTCTCTTGTTCCTTGGCAGGAAAATGTAGTCGTTACTGGGTTTCATGGTGCACTGCAGTTATAACAATACCAGTAGCCAAATTATCTTAATTAAAGCTAGTGTGGGCCTCTCTGAGCTATACTGCAAGCTGCAATCTAGACATACCCCAACTGAGATACAAGCCCCTGTCCACATTCTTCAGTCCTTATACAGGAAAAACGCTAATTGACTGCAACAGGAGAACATGGTGTGGATTACAGAGGGAAATTATTTAAAGTGTCTTGGAGACTATACAGAATCAAATAAACCTATCCAAGCAGAGAGGCTCGTTTCGTAACACATTTAATTTCAGTTTCACTGATTCTAAAGTATAGTTAAAACAGGAATTAAACATCATGATACATTTGTGTGAAAAGTAATCTTTAGCGTTTAATCTCAAAAAGTTTACACGTGTTCTCTCTTACGTGATTTTTTGCAGCTGGATTCTGAATTTCAGCCATCACTGTTTATGTTTCAAGTACTGTTTTCAATATTTGTGACAAATATCATATGGCTAATTTAATATTTAGAGGTTAAACAATGGTCTGCAGACAACATGATTAACTGAATTGTTCAGTAAGTAGCAAAATATAAAACTAATGTCATAATATGTATCAGTAATTCATAGTGCTGGGGAAACGACATTACAAAGAATAGCTGCAGACTCAAAAACACTGTAATACTTACCTTTGTTTTCCAGCTAGTGGGAAAAATCTAACATGTTACCACAGAATCTAGGAAAAGCTTCTGTGAGAATCCATCTTTGTTTAAAATCAGTTGGAGATAATGCTGTTCAGTAACAGGCTGTTTTTATCCCTAGGATAACTGCACTGAAGCCAATGGATTTACACCAGGTATGAATTATTGCTATTAACTTTTCCTCCGTGGAAGTCTCCCATGGATAAGTCATGACTAAATACTACAGAATAGGGGATTTAATGGGCAAGCCTTTTCTGAAGGCAAAGCAGATTACTGTTAACATAAACACAATGCTTCGAAAGTTTGCAAAGGGACAGAAGGCCTTCTCTTACCAGTTCCAAAGACAGGGCATGGGAAGATTTCACAGTTATCGCCCCAGCCAGCACCCAAAGTACAGCAGCATTCTTGTTTGGTTACATTGGATGTAAGCACATTGTCACAGAAATTGGCATCGTTCAGATTGTAGTAGCACTCCTTCTTTCCATCTTCATGTTGATCAGCCTCTATAGGTAATTCTAAAGGCGAAAAGAAAACATAAACCACGTAAGATGACGTGTGAAATGGATCAGTCTTACAGGAGAATCAGGAGAGCCACAGTACCTCAATTTCACCACAGTGAAGAGCAGCATTGTCAGGCAGGGAAGAAAATGGTTAAGTATAAATGTTGGTTTAACTTTTTTTTGTTCGTAGGAAGAATGATGGAAGTTTATAACCCTCCTTAGACTTCTTCAGACCTGTTCTCCAACTTGGCCTCAAAGGGGTTCTTCACAATTACATGTCTTTCATTTTTAAGCAATGCATGAACTACCTGCTCTCATGCTTAACCATCTAACTACCATGCCCAACTACTGACACAGCGCTTTTCATGTATGAATCTTGAAGCCTTTCGCAGAGGTGAGCAAACATTACAACCTAATTTTACTGATAAAGGAGCTAAGGCACAAACTGAAAAGGCCTGATTTTTAAAAGAATGAACATTTCCAGCCCTTTTTAATTTGACTGGGAAAAAAGCATGTACCACAATTGAAAACAAGGCCCTTTATGATTTTTGCAAAAGTAACTAACTCCACAGTAAGCAGAGGAATATAATGCAGATGTCAAGTTAACGGACTCTGTGCTTTACTTTAAAATAGGCATCCAGCCAAGAAGTCAGATTTTCTGCTTTTAGCAGTTGAGTGGGTCCTCTCACAATATTTATAAGCACTGGAGGCAAAACAGTCTCTCCCACAGATCCAGTAAAAAACCCTATTAATAGTCAAAGGCCTTTTAAAGCAAGGCATTCCTAAAGTACACCAAGAAGCGAGTTTGAAAAGAAATACCTAGTTAAAGCTCCTATGTTTGCAGAACTCTGTCCATCTAACCTTGCTCTTCCACAAAAATTCTCATCAAGAGCTCAGAAGTGGGAGCTATCACATAAAATTGTTATTCACACTTGATCAATATGAAAAACTTTTCATAGGTCATCCATAAGGTAAGAGAGTTCTAAAATTACAAATGCTCACATTTATTAATCAAAATCAAAACTTTGTTCAGGAACTTAAGATAGATAAATCTGGAGGCGACTAGTTTATTTCCTTTTTATCTTAGGAAATTCTTTATGCTTAGCACTTAACAAATGTTTAATTCACAAAAACCTACTAAAAATTATTGCATCTTGGCTGATCTTCCATTGTTTGAGATTTCATTCATTTCTACTCAGGCTCTTGCACAGTATGCCAAGCACAAGATTTCTCAAGCAACGCATGTATCCAGGTGGGAATCAAAACCTTATTTTATACCTGAGTGACAGTGCATTTCAAAATGCTAGAAGACTGTGGTGTATAAACTACCTTTATTTGCCGTGCAGCTCTTTTCAAGAAAGAGCTTAAGGCTGCCCACTTACAAGTACTGGTATACCTGGCAGAGCCAAGTTCACTTGACCACCTCATCTGTCTGCCTCTGGCTGTCTCCTGGAGGTCAAGTTCAGCCTCTTTATGCCAGTTACAGGATGGATTTTCTTCTAATCCCATCCACGTAAAAAATAATGGCTGTGAGGTGGGAGCTTGAAGATAGTGACTGTCCAACAAATGCTGAAGGAATTAAATGAACTCCAGCTCTTGTTATCCCTGCCCACCCACATTCCCCCAAGCAGATGGGGCAAGGCAGTTTTACCGAACATGCAAATATTAGATTTGTTTTGAGAAAAGCAGGTTTAAAAATGGATTTTAAGTATGGATTGCTCGTTACTGCACTTCAATAGTATGAACATGTGTAATAGTTCTTTTGGCTTCTAATTCCAAACAGACAATTAGATTTATTTCTATTTTCCTCAGAAAAGTGACACAGTTTCTGTTTTGGGAGGTTGAGGGGCTGGCAGACACCTCCAGTCAAATTTAGTACAATGTTGCCACCTACAAGGCAAACTTTCCTTTGCTGTTTCGCCAATGTAACTAAGTTGTACATTAAAGGAAACACCCAGCTGAGTGCTTATTTCATCTTTGTTAGTTCAGCCTGTGGTCTCCCCTCATCAGATAATTACAAGTTTCCATAATGTGCTGAATTTCATAAAGTGCGGTGGTTTTGCGGTATCAGCTGCTATCCAATAGGAACTACGTTAAGCCTATCGTGTGTCACAGAAACGCAAGTGAACTAAATCAGTTATTCCAAGGTGAGAGTGCAGTACTTCAGCCACAAACATACTTTTTCCTTGGCCATTTGCCATCTGTCTAACTGAATCAAAGACAAATCTTCAACAGGAGAAAAAGCATGGCAGTTTTCACACTGTTTACCAGAGCAAGAACACCAGAAGCTGCCCCAGGAGGAAGGGGAGACAATCTCATCATGTCATTGTTTACTCCCATTTTACATATGATGTGTTGGTTTCTCCTCCCATTATCTGTTCAGCAGCTTAAAAGTCTGTTGTTTACACAGCTGTGAACTGAGGGTTAGTCAAGCAGGCGTCATGAATGTTTGGAAAGCAAATGAGACACAAATTTTTTTTTTTTTTTTTTTTTTTTTTTTAAACCAAGACCAGTCTGTGTCTACAAGCTTATAATTTCTCTCTCATACATTATTAACCATTTAGTAAACAGGTTGTTTTTTGAAAGTGGTTTCACTAGGTATGTTGACAAAATATGATAGGAAATGGATACTTATTTCTTTGTATCATTGTTTCAGGTTTTTTGTTGCAATGCAGAAAATGCAAAATATCTCTCCACCTAAGGCACGCTGGTAAAGGAACATAATTTCATCAGGCCGTTGATATGACTCTTCTATTAACAGCCTATAGAGAGATTCTATATAGCTGCTGCTAGATTGAACTCTGAAGAATTTATTAGAAACAGATTTATATACCTTAGCGTAACCTTGATCAAGCAATATGCTTCAGCATGTGTTTGATGCAAAAATGTGCATTAGTAATACAGGATTCAGTGGATAATCAGGATATTAAGCATATGCTTAGACTTCAGCATACACTTAAATATTTGCCTAAGTAGTTAACAACTGTGATCTGAAAAAAACAAAACATATAGAACTGATGGGATCTTAAATACTGCAGCTGTGTACCAACACCTCTTATTCACAGGTGGAATCAGTAAGGTGTTGCTAAAGTCAAAAATCATTATTACAAGTTCATGACTTCTAAAACCTCAGCAAAGACGCCGGTGACTCTGAGCAAACAGTTTGAGTAACACACATGTTCAGAACCTGATTTTCAAAAAGACAGTAAAAATAGATTGGCATGTGCCTATCGTCAGGTGCTTAGATTTCTCAATTGGCTCCACACATGGCAAGCTACAACACCTACCGTGTGTATGTGCAGTGTATATGCATATACGTGCATATGTACAATTCAGGGATTAGTGTAAGTGATGGACATTTAAAAATGGTATCTAAGACTATGTTCATAGATGACTGAAATTCAGATCGTAATGTACCTTAGAAAACCATATTGCCATAAAGAAACCTACAAATATGAAGAGTTTCCTCTGAAGTCTTAACATTTAGAAAGCCCTTAAAGTTTAGGAAATTTAGAATTTGTACTCAGGCACCAAATTTCTAGCCTTGAGGAAGCTTTTGGATCAGATTTATAAAATGTTACTTGGCAGCCTCAAATTTTTTGTGCTGGTGGTTGATTAGATGCAGGGGGGATTGATTTTGTTTTAATACAAATCAGCCTAGGAAGGACTCATGTTTGGACACCAAAACTGTGAATTTACGTATAAATCCTAGTAAATACTCTTAAATATCTTGCCATAAATAACTGGTCACATCTCACGTAACCAGGAGAAAGCAACATCTAAATTAGCTGTAGGTACCTAAGTGGGCCCTGGTACCTTAGTGGAGTTCTCTCACTGGAATTCTTTTTATTGGCTGAGCTGTAACTCACTAAACTTGTGATCTTACTGACCTTTGTATATGTAAGCCAAAATGCTTATGTTTACACACATGCTTTTGTTTGCAATTCTCATTTTAAGTCATAACTATTTTAATCCTCAAATATATACTATCCTTTATAGCTTCTGGATTCAATGCAATGAGATATATTAGTAATATAACAGTATATATTAGTAATTTAGATGCATACTAGAACATGCATTTTTTCTTACGTAGAAACAATTAAAACGGTGTTAATACGGATTATTACTCAAACTGCATTCAGCTTGGTACTTGCTAGAACTTAATCATAAATGGCTTTATATATCTTATTAAAAGAATAAATGAGAAGACTTCAACCCAAACCAGGCATTTTTTTCTCTTAGGTACAAAGATGTGTAACAGCAAAGTTTCACCTAATACAAAAGAGAGTTCTTCCCTCCTTTATCTTTTCTTTCTTCTGAAGCATTTGCTACATTTTGTGAACAGCAGGGCAGAGAGGAAGGGAATAAGACAACCAAACCTTGCACAATTACTTTTTTTTAGTTTGTTACTGGAACATGACAATATGGGCTAGAATTCCTGATACATACACTGAGAGGATTGTTTCAGGACACAGCTAACAGTAGATGAATTTCCACCAAGTGAAATGTAAATAGAAGGAAGTCTCGAGAGCCCTAGTGGCAAGTAAAGCAAAGCGTGAACACACCCCATTCCACAAAGCTAACAGCCTTTAACCACATGCAAAAAAGTTCCCAAATTGAAGTAACATTTGAACAACCTTCACCTATTTCCACTTGATAAAAGGTGGATGAACATTTCTTTGTGCACAAAAATACAAAATGAGAAATAAACAAAAGCTGAGTAAACCACACTGAACTATAGATATCTGCAACAGGATCATGCAGATTAAATTCTTCCTTTCTGAAAATAGGCATGATGCAAGCTAATGCTGATAGATGACGTCCACATGCACCGTAGGAGCTCTCAAAGCTCTCACCACGCCTGACTTGAGTATGTGGCTTGTCAAAGCCAGAGGATGTGTGGCTGTTCCATTGCTTTTTGCAGGGACATGGCATGCTATTCCTATATGATCATGCTGCAGCTGGTCTCGGGGGAGGCTGAAGTACTCATCGTTGGGCAAAACAACATAATCGTTATCCTGCAGTGAGCACATGGGGCTTATGCCACTTACAAATGGGGAGGAAAAGACTGGTTTTGTTCCCTCTTCAGTTGACAGCTGCACAAGGGCGACCCATTGGTTCCCAGAACAAAATAGGAACAAGCAAAGTGAGCAGTAGAGTGAAGTGTGTATTGTCAGTTCCTGAAATGTCAAATCCAGAGGCACATGGGGCAGTGTCACCACTTGTCTGGTGAGCCTCTGAGGTCTTGAGAAACAGAAGCCAACTGATAAGAGGGAAAAAACCAGCAAGGCTGCAGGATGTACAGGAAAGCAAGAATCCTTTTTAAGAGCTAAAAATAGTACTTTCCCCCTTTTACTTTGGAAGAAAGTAAGAGAATAAATAGTAAGATCTCTGTTCCTAGTACAGCCACTTTTCCTTATTCTAGTTCAAGAGCATATGGTGTAAAGTACATCTCACTGGGTCCTAATTTGCATGTCTTCTGGTCTCCTATGTGAGATCTTCCTCCTTGATGACCTTCAAAACATGAAGCACATGTTTTGTTAGGGCCCGATGAAGGCTGGAGGGGAAGGAAGAATGGCTTCTTTCCAAACCGATCACAGTAAAGCTATGTTCACCGGTGACAACAAAATGGAGTTAGTACTGACAGTAGAGTATTCATCTGTTGACAGTACAATCAGCCACACTGGGTTTTTCATCCCCTCCCTCCCCACAGTGACGTTTGGGTATGTCCTTGAATGCTCCTTGGACTTGACTTCTTTTTACATGGGCTCAGGTCCTCTGCTAATTTCTTTAGCTTTGGTTTTGTTTCGACAAGTAGCTGAATTCTCCCAAGTACTACCTCCTCACAGTACCAAAACAAAGATGGCATTAACATCTCTTTCAAATCTTGGTAATATAATTTAAACACTCTTCTTCCATAAATTCATGGAAGAATTTTAAATGCTGCTACTTCATCATCAGTGGGTATTTAAGCTAATCTGCTTCATGGTGAAAAGGTACTGCAGTACTTTTCCTGGCAAACAGACAAGGAGGCAGTACCACTGGGCATTGCTCTGCTGCCTCAGCCATCTTTTTTTTTTTTCATTCCTCCTTCATAAAACAAGTTCCTGTAAGCCTGAATCTTTCTCACAAGATTTTGCAAAGGTTTCAGTTTGTCAATCAGCTGTTAATGATACTTCACAGGCAACTGCTTGAGTGCCGCTGAGTGCTACATTCAGTGGTCTAAATACTTTTTGCAAGTAGGTCACAGATATTTCAACCTTATTTACAAGTCTGAAAAAGCATGAATAATAGGAGAAAATAGCCACAGCCTTGTAGGCTGTAGAGTCTGTATCCTGGCACTACAGCCAGTTATTCTAAAGCTTTCCAGAAGCCAGATCAGCCTGCAGTGTAAGAACAAAATAAGAAAAATACCAAGATTTGCATTCTGGAGGGGGAAGAAAAGCTGTGCAAGTAAATCCCTTCATTTCTTGTACTCTGTTGCTCCTTGTTGTGGGCTTGTTCCTTTCTCCAAACTGAATCAGTGTAGAAATGTGGAGGCAACTTTAAGAGTTCTAAACTCATTTTTAATGAGCATATTTCCAATACTATTTGCAACAACCAAAACACGTGGTAACAAAAGCTCACAAATCCAGTACAATGGACTACTAGGAAAAACAGGACAAAAGATGGAGTAAAACAAGCAAGGGCACTCAAAAAGGCACTCAGAGAGACTGACAACATGACAGCGTTTTGGTTTTTTGCTTTCCTAGCTACCTTTTCTGAGGACTTATGTTAGTACTGGATAATGCTAAGAGGATACCACTATATGCAAACTTTGTTTTTATTCATATGCTCCCTTAAACATTGTCCAAGCATACTAATGGATGTTTGTAAAAATGTGAACAAAAAATAAAATCACTCAGGCCATAGACTTGATTCCATGTCACATTTCATTGTTACAGTACAGCAAACGAGATTGTTTACTCTTAACGGCTGTAACTGTTCATTATTACTGCCAAGTCTGTTGACATAAAAAATTTAGAAGGTGTTTCTGCTATATTTTCACTGCTAATGATTCACTGATAACATATAACATCCTAGAAATGCCTCTTCTCATGCACACGCTTTCAAGAAGACAAAGTTTTAAATTTTTCTGTTGTAGTTAAAGCAACACTAGCATTTAAACCAACTTTACCTTTCCATTGCAGTGGAAATCATGCCAAACATGCAAAAATTCACTGGTGTTTTACCTGGTGAGGTACGGAAGCGACACTGTCCGGTCATTGGATCATACTCCTGGTTTTCATCAGAGCACAGGCACAGGAAAGAACCATCGACGTTTTCACAGAGGGCTTCGCCACATACTCCACTCAGCATTTCACATTCATTCACATCTGGGGAAAAAAATCCAAAACGTAAATCAATTCAGACCCATTACTGACAGTTTGTTCTTTTATCTGCTGTATCTGTGCCAATATTGTCTGCCAGATTACAGATGTGACCTCTGGGGAAGGATTAAAAACTCACTAATACCTAAGTGGATCAATAAACAAGTAGTGAGTCCTTTGAAATAAAAGCCCCCGAAAGCCACAATACAGTTTACAGACTGTTGGTGCTGACTAGGTGCTGCTTATAGACCAGAACACAGGCTTTCGTTTTTTTTGGGTTGCTTTCTCATTTTTAAATACTTGCTTTTCTTTTTCTTGGGATTTAAGATTCCGACTAATTTCATTTGTTTTCTTAACTTCCTTTATTATCAAACTTCCACTGAATTCAAGGAGCAAAATGACTAAGTTTCGGTGTGATTCAGACTGCACTACGAAAAGAGAATTCCCTTTTCTCCTCAAAATCCCATTTTCCTCGTGACCATCCACTGAACAGTGAATTCCCCAGCCCCACCGCCACCACATGCCTCTCATATGTACGGCCTCACAGGCTGCTCTGGAACCCACAAGGGTTATGCCCAAGTCACCCAGGGAGCCCCTGCCGAACACTGCAAATTTCCTCTCCCCAAAAAACCCCACATATTTTTAACTTGGATGCCATATACCTGCTAACTAGTCTACACTGAAATGCTTTTTTGATTGATGGGAGAGTTGTCTGCTGTTTACCAAATACTGTCAGGATCACTTAACTTAGTACTGTCTTTTCAGTTGCTAAAGTTTACGTCTGAAAATCTACTTTGTCTACTAATGACAGAATCTGAAAATTATAATTTGTGTATCACAGTTCAGAAATTTCTATAACTGAGTGTGGTCTAAAGTATAACTTGTGAGGCAATGTTTTATCCTTTTTGCCTCTTATCCAGCAAGAACGAAAATCTAGTCATATGAATGAATGTTGGTTTTTGTGTATTTTTATATAAATATGCATTTTAATTTATGGTTTGCTCAGCACTTTTTAAATGTACTTAGATTTTTCTTTATCTTTTTGCTGGATTCCTGTCATGAGGAATAAATCTTCTTTGGGGAATGTTGCCTGGCCAGGAACTAAAGACACTTACCTTTTCCTAAAATTGTTTTGGTAGATAACTGGCATCAAAATTTAGATATTTCAAGAGTATTTTATATTATATAGTGTATACAAGAAAAAAAAACTAAGGCATTATTTTATGGTACAGAATCACTTCACTGGCAACTCAAAATTAAACTTAGTTTCACATCAGCATTTGCTTTCCTTTTTTTTTTTTCTCCTTTCTTTGCTTCGTTTGTTTTCATCTGTGAAAAGTCACTGTATGCAAAAATACACATTTTTGCACTGTATGCAAAAAAATCTAAGTGCCAAATGGCATAAAGAATTTTGTAATAAATCTATTTAATATATTAGAAAACACATGCAAACACTTTGTAAAACTTCTAACTCCTCCTCCCTGTTCGGTATTCCGTTTAGGTCTCTATTCCTGGTAAATGTGTTTCATCCTGAGTCTTGCTTGAAGAAATTGCTTAATGAATACCTTTCCTTGATCTGGTATTAATTTTACGTTAGAAACTTGTGCTGCCTCAGATGCATCTCAGGTCCAACCATCGCTATTAAGAACAGGTCTGGAAACCTATTACTCACAAGAGAAATGTGCAGTATTTACACATCTACAAAAATCTCACATCTTTTCATGGTGATAGGTGTCTTTCCTGGTGCTCCAAGCCAGTGTTAAAATCTGTTCAAATATGATGTGCCTAGGGAGGTGTGCCATCTAATTCAGACTGTGGCTGTACCACATGCCAGACGTTATTTCCTGTAGGGGGTAGTACAGAGTTCTGGTTATTCAGCTAAGAGACTAAACAGATGTTGCATTTAAATAGGCTAAAGTATTAAATTCAATCTATTATGATTTATATTAGTGAATGGTCCTGATGTGGGTTTTCTTGTGTTGTTTTTTTTTTTTTTTTTTTTTTTTTTAAAAAAATGAGTGGCTCAGCTTATTTGCTGTTGGTTTCCGTTCAATCCTAATAACAAGTTCTCATTAAATGGATACACAATTAAGTTTCCATCCGGCACAAAGTTCAGTGAGCAAAGCACAGCTCAACCTTATTTTACTAGTAAGTGGCACAACTTTAACAAAAAATGACAGGAAGCAAAAATTTTCTTGTGAAGAAATGCGTTTTGCTCATATGCTGCTTTTTGCTCACTAGAACCTTGCAGGAATGACTACTTGCACCTAAGAACTCACCCGTACACCCTTGCCCATCCTGTGAGTCCTGATACCCTTGGTAACAGAGGCAGCGGTAGGAGCCATCCATATTTTCACAGAACCCGTGACTGCCACATATTGTGCCATTCGCACATTCATCAACATCTGCAAGGAAGAATTTTAACATCAGACAGGCCATGTAGCAATCAAAGGCAGACATTCATGAAGACTGCAGAAAAACAACAGATGGGCCATTTTTGCAAACAGATGCAGCGATGTCCCTCTATACATTGGGAAGGAAAACACAAAGAACAAGACACAAAAATAAGGTAAGCACACATACAATTTAAGAAATTGTTTCAGTGTTAACTTCACAGGAAATATCTTGTGTCAGACAACAGTTTTGGTCAACTGCCTCCCATCTGTTTCACTAAACCTGCCAATCATGGCATGATGCTACATACCACGGAGTAAGACATAGTTTAAATATGACCATCTCTCTCACTGGCTTACGGATTCTGCCAGTGTAGCATTACACAGTCAACAACATGTGTGAAACTAAACCCACTGTGCCTACAAGAAGAGTTTCAAGGGTATGGTTGCATCCATTGGGCAGAAGTGCTGCACAGATCTCATTCTGGCTCTCAGCACAGAAGAGAATTTCATGGTGTATGTGTAAGTGGTAAATATCTGCGGACTGAGCCCTCTGGCTTTAATCCTGTAAGTTTACACATAGGAATAATCTTACTCAGGTAGGCGAAGTAATTACAATGCCTGCATGCTTTCTGTACTGGCCCTTTCATTTGTAGTTCCCATTTGTGGTTTACTGGCCTTACAAGAGTCACTTGCATGAGTAAGTCTCTTCTTTGACTCAGCTGCCCATCAGCCTATAATGAAGCAGAGTCACTTGTGGCAGGATGTGGTTTATTTTTGTAAGTGTATTACAAGTGCTAGGAATGTATTCTTTTTATCTGCACTCAAAGTTAAGACCTAAACCCAAGGCCCTGACCATCTGTGGTCACTAAAGATGTCATGGTGTGTTTTTAGGAGGAAGAACATTAACTGAAACTGGGAACCTGCCAGGATGCTAGGATAAGTACCTTCTACCTTCTAAATTCCTCTGCAGTTTGAAGCAGAGAAATTATTGCTATACTTCTTTCCTAGAAACCATTGTGACTGTTAAGTAAGGTTGCTGTCCTTGCTTCTGCACTGTGCCTCAGGGGAAATTACACTTTAAATGGTGATTAAAGTGATTTGCTTTTGATTTATCTGGGTACTAGCTGCTATCTTTAATTCTGCACATTGGAGTAGACCTTCATGTGATGGAGCCTACCATTATTCTACCTCCAGTGAAGGCCTTAGGGCCTCACTGAACTAAAAGGCTGGTGGGACTGAATCCTGCATTCCACAGAGAGAGGGCTGCTTTGAACAGGTGAGCTGCACTGCTGCTTGGTGTCTTTCTGAAAGGAGAGAGGCAGGCTCAACCACAGTCCTGTCTACTCCTACAGCTGTTCACAGCTGTGTCAAACAAAGGCCTAGAAAAGTCAGCAAAGATGCACCTTGTTCTTCTCGTAACAGTGCTCACCGAGCAAGGACATTTTTACTTTTATATTGTGTCTTACGCTCAGGTGAATGGGAATCCTTGGTCTTTGAACCACATGGTCACAACTCCCCAAGCGACCCAAATCTGAGCAGCACATCATTACCATTCAAACATTCCCTAATAGATTACCTGTTGTGCAGCCCTCTTGTTCCCCAAGTGCCCAAATTCATCCACACATGCTTCTGCCTGCCTCAGGGAGAGGCTTTTTTGAGATCTTGAAAACCAGCTTTTCCTATTTGCTGTGGTTTAGAACTGCATATAGATTTCCTATTTGAACAGGTTTAGAACTGCATATAGATTTTTAAAGCCAGAAGAGACTATCCACATCATGTAGCCTGACCTCCTAAATAGGTTAAAACACACCCTGGCAAATTTTGTGAGTAAATTGTGGAATTCTAACATCTTTTTCAGAAAGGCATCTAATTTCACTTTAGGATGTTTAAGTGATGGAAAACTTACCTCTTCTCCTACTAAACTGATCCACTGGTTAACAACCTTCAGCTAAAACACAAAATTAATGCAAAAACTATATGCACTACATACACTGAAATCTAGGAGCTATGAGTATAATTGATAGTTGTAAGAAAAAGTACTTGCAGATGGAACTGGCAGAATAATTTATTTGGCTTGTTGGTTTTGTCAATAAAGGCTTTAATGCTCTTTATATCTTGATTTATTAAACAAAGGAAAAATATTGAAGGAATTTATCTTAGACAGGTTTATTTGTATTTGGCAAAGAATACAATAGCTAGTATGTTTATTCTCAAGGAACTGAATATGAAAATTTGGGTGGTTTCTGCATACAAAACTTATTGAAATCTACCACAAGCTCTCCCTAGTAGAACGAATTCAGCAATAAAAGTAAGCAATATATACCTGTGTTAAAGACTCTGTCAAAGGTGAAAGATCAAGTATTACCTTTAATACCCTTTCCTTTTCCAGTCACCTTAATGACAGAATTATAAAAAGATGCACATGGAGTTACTGGGAGAAAGAAGATACAAATTCTTTATGGTTGTGTTTTTCTGGTCCCTCCCTCTTGCTGCTGTGCATTATACCTGCATAACATATCTTATTTTAATTTTTATTCTCATATGATCATCAGAGTTTCACATATCCGGTCAAAAAATCTGAATACTCTATCTCTTATTCAGAAAATCCTGTTAAGTTAAGAAAGGGAATTCAAAATGAGTAAACAATTGTGGATTGACAGCCAGGAATTTAAGACAACAGACAATAAAGCAGCATTTGTATTTTCAGTGGCCAACTACTGTTTAATTACAAAAGTTCCTGAGCCACAGGATAGTTACTCTGTTAAAAGCCTAGACAGAAGAGACTACAACTGGGGATTTTAGAATTACCTAAATTACAGTATTTCTCTTACTTACTAGCTAAAATGTTAAAGGAAACAGATAGGGGAATGGATCATGCAGCTGGTTCTCTAAAGGTAAACTAAGGTCACTGACTGAAAAGCTGCAGAAACAAAACTTGTGATTGTAGCAAATGTCCTAATTTAGTATGTAATACAGCCACAGAAGACAGTTTTGTTTTTAAAGAGTACACAGTCTGAACATGACTGGATCTTTCAGTGTATGGGAAATTACAGAGAAGGTCCAAGCACCACATATTTTTCCTTGTCTAGACAGCTCACTCAGAGGACTCCTGTTTTACAGCCGGAAAGGGCATTTATTTTTTTAATCACCCTGTAAAGCATGAGGCTTGTAATCGGCGATTCTCTTGTTATATGGAGACAAAGCAAGGGGAAAAACTAAATATGAAACTAATATATCCTATGTCTATACAGTCACTAAAGCAGTTGTCTGTAATTACGACCTGCTTTAGAATCCATGACTCACTGCTCCCTGCTTTAATCAAAACTCCTTTGATCTAACATCATCAGGATCTAAAGAAAGGCAAAACGTGTGTGCACTCAAGCGCACTCCTATTCAGCTCAACACCGCGTTCCTGTTTTCTGCCAACCTGAACAAGATGAAGGCATACTTAACCTCAGGCGTGATATTTAAGCCTCACTGAAATCTACTTACGTGGCAAAGTGTCTGGAAGAGGAACTGTTTCCTAGGACAGTTCTGTACAGTGCTTAGGGGAACAGAGCTCTGATTCTGAGACTTCCAGGGCTGCCCGTAACACCCATACATAAAAATCACTGTCATGAGAAAATTAGAAAAATGAATATTTGAATAAAGACTTTGGCCATCTAGAGGCAATAATGCTGGATGGTCATTCCAACATTGCGATGATGTGGGTAAGAAAGAGATTCTTGTCTTCCCCTTCGTGTTCTTACTTCTCTAGCCAGCGTCCAGATAAGAAGTAGTTGATGCCCTAAAACATCTCGGTCAGCAAATGTGAGAAGGCTGGTGAAGTCTGTGATTACTCATTGTGAAACACGAAGGTAGCTCACAGGGACACACTCTGGAGATGCATACTTGAATTCATGTTTGGCAGAAGCCTGAGCTTTCTTACTTCAGTATTTAACCAGAGATTTGGTGAAGCTGTGAAGTTGTCTACTGCATAAAATTTACTCCATGTAACAGATAATACTCTGCCCCAAAAGGAGTCCTAAATTTACCATACTCTTTTCCTAAAGCTGCCTTGTCTTCCCTATATGGGCAGAATTATGGTTGTGATGTGCAGTTACAGCAAACATTTACTCTCTTAAAATGTCTTTGGTGGCAGAGGTAACAGTTATGCATTGGTCACAGCTCTGCTCTTTGTTTCCCTGATTTTCAGACTTCTTAGGTATGCAGTCATCTTAAACGATGGACAATGTAGCATCTTTGTGTACAGATTTGTAAATCATTCTTTTGTCACAGAATGATCTGTGGATGCTCCCTGCAAGCATCCAAAAGGCTCAGACAGGTGACTTTTTCAGTGGACAAAGAAAGGAGAACAAGATACAAGACAGTAAGTGAGGGGAAAGGAAGAAGCAGAGGTTGGAGAGCTCTGGTGGGATGTGCAAGTTTTTTGGAGTGCCTGTTGAGGCAGGCAGTGAAGCTCAGGGCTTGGAGCAGAGAGAGGGAGCCACTGAGACATACGGGATTGGACACGGAGACAGAAGAGGTGCTTGGGGCATCGTATTGACTTAAGCATCAGAGAACCTCTAACTTGAATTTTTGCCAACACAGTTGACTAGCAGCCAACTGGGTAAAATGCTGCCTTTACAGGAACCCCAGAGAGCTCGACAGGGAGCTAGGGAGCGCTCCGAGAGCCTCCTGTTCAGAGAGCCTGGTGCAGCCAAATTGCTAAGCCTGGGGCCAGGTGGCAGCGGAATGTCACCGCTACAACAAAAGTTTGTCTACACCTTGGAAGAAGACACAGTCTCCACAGCTGTTCAGTTTACTTTGGCCAACGGCCATAAAAACTCCATACCAGAACTGAACCACATGGGGTTCTTAAATGTTTTATGTTGTTGTTGTTCCTGACTTTTCAAAAAAACGAGTCAAACTCGTACAAAAACAGTCTGGAGATATGGAAAATCTGCTCCCCAGGTACAAAGAGGCGTCTGAATCCAGCAAAATTTCCTCAGGTTCTTTCTCTGATGGTATAAACAGTTATTCTCACTCACTTAACTAGAAGTAAATTCACAGAGGCACCTAGTGTAAAGAACAGTAGCTCCTGCGGCTGGAAGCCACATCCTTTCTCAGTACCTGGAATGTCACACGTTCCTTTTGTTTCTGATTCTTTTGTTTCATCTTGCCTTTTCACATGAAGCTGACACCACAACAAATATTAACACTGACGCCATCAGTGCTCCCTTCAAATGAGTTTTTTCAACTCTAGAATTGTTTTTATTAAAATGACAGAATGGAGAAACTAATCGTGGTAGAAAAGGAGTGCTGCTGCTTCAGAAGACTAGAAGTACCCTTGCTTCGCCAAGTTATTAAAATACTTTTCCAAGCGCTGAATACAAAGTCTGATCTGTATTCCATACACACCACCAATTACTTGTGAAGCACGCTCAACTGGTTTTGTACTTTTTGTTTTATTCTTCATTAAAAAGTTCCAAAACTACTCACAAACCTGGAAATAAGATCTTGTGATTTCATCTTTTTCTATTTAGTAAAAATTTGGCTTTTTTGTACTAATGGAGATTAACTTTGTACTATTTCATCATATGTGATGGTAACCCTTCCCTGGGAACTGTGCTATTTTATTAACTGTCAGAGATCCAGACAGAGGGGCTCATTGTTTCTGGTACATCCCCTCAAATTAGATGCCACCGACTTTTTTTTTTATGTTGTGTTTCTATTCAGTTCTGCCTTTTTTAATTTCTGAGGTTTGATTTCACAAGGTTAATAAGTGTTCTTCTAACTTTGGTTTGGAATAAAGTGTTTGGTTTCTAAGAGCAGGCTGCATTCTTCTCTGACCACTTTTTTTTTTTAGTTATGCTCAACAGTGAGGCAAAACACCTGCTACTACTTTTCTTGCAGAGAAATTGAAGATACTTAACCATATCCTTTCTAAACACTGGGTGAAATGTATACATGCTGCCAAAAGAGTCCATAGACATGCTTTGGAATTATTGCCATTACTTGAAATCACAAAATACTGCCTTGTCCATTAATCTCTGGAGTTACTCAGATTCGCTCTCTTTAGCCTACTTGACCAGGCTTTTGTCTTGGCAGTAAGAGAGTATTTCTTTCAACTTATGCCATGATTACAAAATAAAGTGAATGTTTAGAGAGGAAAAAGCACCAAAAATACTGCAGGATTTTTTTTAGATATCAATAATAATTAAACTACTAGTAGTGTGTTTGATGTCATGTCATATCTAAATATAGAGCACTTATTCCTTTACATCAGCATAACAGTATTCTTGCCAGTAGTGTATTTCATTTCGTTAGATATTATATTACTAACTACATGGCAGGTTATATGCCAGCTCAAATAATAATGCTGTAATGCTGTTTTTCCTCTGGTAAAAGTAGGAGGAGTAAATGCAATCGTCAGACAGAAGTTTTAAAACACCTCCTCCACTGAAGGAAGAACCTTTTCACTATCCCTAAGTGAACTATGAGAAGAGCTGGCCCATGAAAACCAATCACATATGGATTTACGGGACTGTAATTTGGGATAGAGAACTGCTTGCTTACTTCTTGGATGTTTGAGATCCACTACTCATAGGTTTTAACACCAAGCTATCATCTGCTCAGTGCTTCTCCTCTGCATTCATCCTGCCGAACTACCACCATATAATTTTTTCCCCTTCTGAACTTTTCCCACAAGACTCCTTGTCTTGAACAGTCCTCTCATCCATAAGAACTGCCATTCTTCATCCAGTTAGGGGGATTTTTGTTTTCTGTCAGCATCACTGACTGCACAAAGCCACATATCTTCTTGGTATCATTGAGCACAAGTCTCCTATTTTAAATTCAGTGCAGGAGAGCAGCATCACTAGCTCTCCTGCTAGTGTATGCATTCCATTAGCAACAGGATATATTCTCATGGTATAAGCAAATAAAAACCCTAGTTATGCCTAAATTCTAGGCTCCTGGTTGATGTGTTATTACTGGAGCAGCTTTTACAACCTCATATGAAAAATACCTGTATAAGCATACCTGCATACACTTACGAAGAATAAGCTGGCTTTAGCACTGCAAAGATCTAATTACCGCTATTTACTCTATTTCTGCCATTTCAGAATGCCTGAGGTTCTATCACAGACAGCATTTTACTACCATTTCTCACTGGAGTTACTTCAGTTGTATGGATGCTTCATCTGCATCTTTTTAAAATAAAAAGTCTCGACAAGCAAGGTTCTGTTGTCTTACACACAGCAATGAGAACGTTCGGGCAGCTCAGGCTTGCTGCTAATGCAGTTAAGAAGCTTTAAATTAAATAATCTTAAATATTTGTGGCCGGAAGGTCTTACCCACTGAAACTTATCAGAAGCCTGAGTTCCAAACTCACTTTACATGCATTTTATATTTGTTCCTTCCACCCTTTCTATAAGATAGAATGAATAGATTTTCATATTATTACGGATGTCCACTGGTTTCATGTATCTTAACATAAGAATATCATCCCTCCTTTGCCATCATTTGCCATAGTTAGGTTAGTATTCCTTCTTTCTTACTAATTTCTTTTGCTTAAAAAAATATAATCCAATGTTAAGATAGCTAAATTATTAAAACTCAAGAAAAGTAAAACACAGCTTGTAACAAACTGACTCCATTACATTGCCCATTTTGTACATTTCCTGTTATACTTCTTATGATTCAAACAGGAAACATAGCACCCCGTGCATTTATGAGAAAAAAGAACAAAGGGTCCTTAGGTGGCAGATTGCTGAGTTGATAGTGGTTTTGGGGCATTAGACCCAAACTGATTACTTTTCTCACCCAACTAATAATAGCAAATCAATGGGAATGCATTATTGTGACTTGTCTCACCTTCACATGTTTGGCCATCTGCAGACACAGAAAAGCCCCGCTCACATATGCACTGGTAGGAACCATCCGTGTTTAGACACTCCCCGTGAGGTGAACAGAGGTCAGATCTCTCACATTCATTGATATCTGAAAACAGAGACATTAACAGCTTTGCAAATCATCATACCCTTAATATTAGGCCTAAGTTCAATTAGTCTTAAAAGTAGCTTTTATTTCCACCAGCTATGTAAATAGCTATGTAAATGGGGCTCATTTTCCAGAGTAACCAAATCTTCTGGGATCATTCTTAAACTCTGTATAGGCATCAGTATGTTCTGCTGCATCATACTTTCACTATATCACTCTCTGCGATGAGGATGAGCAGATGAGAGTGATTTGTGAGATATCAGTACAAGCTCCATACTAGCCAATATTTCTTCTGCGTTAAGAGAATTTTCAGATGGCTCCATCTCACTGTTGCGTGATTGCTGCATACTCATCAACTTGTGCATCTGGCTCCATGTGTTACCAGCAGGTCTGGAGTTGCATCCTTCCCAGTAAGTTGATTTTATATAATTTAAAGCCAAATGCTCTTTTTTGCTGATGGGGAATGGGAATGGTCCCAAAGGGTTGCTATATAAGAGTTTTTCATCATTGCTTTTTTTTTTTTTTTTTTTTTTTTTTTAAAAAACAGAAAGCATTTTTCAAACACTGCCTTTCAAAGTTTTGAATCTGAAAAACAAGCATTTCTTTCTGATTGGTGCCTCATCTTACCAACAAGACGTGCCACCAGAACTTAAGGACTGCATTCATTCATTAACTTTTACATAAATTACCATTCACATTGTAATTGTACTTTTGTATTTTGCTTTACAGAAACCTTTTAAGAAGTTTTCAACACCATGCTGAGATCAAACACAAATTTAGAAACAAAACTTAAACAAGGCTCATTCATCCATCATCACAGATACTAGAAGTTTTTATTCTCAACCTGTGTTTCATTCCTTAGATTCTGGCCATTGTTATGGCCATACAAAATGCAACAAAGTAGGCAATAATTTTGAGAGAAATTATGATTTCAGTACCATTATTTCAAGACCCATGACACCCATTATAGAATTTTCTTTAGATACAGACTGATTCTATCCTGTGTGTAAACCTTCTAGGCCAGTGTCCTGAAGTCATGGCACATATGTGGAAAGAAAAAGACAGCTCGGGGAAGTTTAGTATCTGTATGAGGTGCACAGGGAAAAGTCAGTGTGCTGGGCTTCACACAACACCTACATGTATCAAGCCTTCTCTGAATTCACAGTAAATGCAGACCAATGACATACTTCTTGAAGCTCTCTGAAAGTCAGGTAAGGTGGGAGATCAGCAATGACAAGGACAGTACGCTACCTTCTCAGGACGCGGTTCTCAAGACTAAGCTGTCAGTTTCTTAAAACTGCCAGAAAAATACTGGAAACCAAAACAGCTGATTACACAAGGTAGAATGATGTATTAAAAGACAGGAAAGCAAAATTAACAATGTTAGAGAAATAAGAGTATAATTCATTTGGAAGAGCAAACTGCACACTGTCTGATGTTTTAGACTCTTTTCAACTTTTCTCCTTACCAAAATGCATGTTCCTAATTTCTAGTCTAGGCCAGATTCAACTTGCAGACACCGCATTCTGTGATAAATTTGCCAGTTTAATTCAATAGCTCTCTACTTTCAATTATGGTTTCCTCTGAAGGTAATAAGGCTATGATCAGGTCACCCCTCATTTTTTTTCAACAAAATAAACAGTTTAAAACCATTCAATCCTTTTCCCCCAGACCATCAGCTTTTTTGGGTTCATCTCTGAACTCTCCTCAGTTGATCAGCATCCATTTTGAATTGCAGGCACCAGAACGTCAGTGTACAGCAATGTGCCAATAGCACTTGTATCAGTGCAAAATAGAGGTAAACAAACCTTGACTACTCCTGCTGGATATTCTGCTTTTTCAATCTTCCAGGGAGTGCATTAGTCCTACTGGCCACAGGGTTGCACTGGAAGCTCATATTCAGCTGGCTGTCTGACCCCTAAATCCTTCTCTGTGACTGTGTCCCAGAAGGAAGTCCACTATCCTACAAGCATGACTGAGATTCCTTCTTCAATATGTAAATGGATATATTGAAACGCCTAGTATACCATGTGATCAAGATCACTCTGCACTAGTGGCCTATTATCTGGATCTTTTACCATGCCCCTAATCTCTCCAGGTAAATTCTCTCAAAAATTTTATGTTTTTTCTTGCTATTACAGAACTCTGATAGAACTAACTTTCAATCATTTAAAAATGTCTCAGTTTATCTGCTGCTTAAAATATTTTGAAGGTACAGTTGAAATGTAAAGAAGTCATCATTTATGATGTAAGTATGGCTATTTTTGTCCAGTACAAAATACAGGACAAGAAAATATACTGGAGATATGACAAATAAAAATTCTACTATTGCATCCTGTAACAGCTTAACAAGAAGTAGTCAACACAATTAAAAAAGTCTAACCATACTTAATTCTGCTAGCCAAAGATCTCCCTTTATGTTCTTTCACTGTGTCCAGTTCTTTGCTATTCTAACTTGTCAGTATTCATTGTATCAACTCCTCCTTTCTTCCATTTGTTTTGATATTGATCTGGCTATTTCTAAAGCGGTTTCATTCCCCTCTACAGCAAGTTGTTATTTTTCAGTGCTGGTGGTCTTCTTTCTCAAGTGTGGTGCTCTTACCTGAAATGGTTTCCAATTTTCATTCACATTTTTTTGTTAAAAATGCTGTCTGTACTGTCTGTCGCTTAGTTGGCTCATAAGTGCTTTCAGTTTTGTTATATTCATCCGTTTAAAACATGAAGCCTATATACTACTACTTTATACAGTGGAGTGAAGAGAATAGAGTGGTATCAAAGCTGGCATTGATTTATAGCTTGTGACCAATTCTCTTTTATCTGCTAAAGCAAGGTCTAATACAGTACTTCCCTATGTCGAATGCAACATTTTCTGAATTAGAAAGCAGTCGCATATAATACTCAGAACTTCCACAGGGAATTTGCTGTTGGTTGCACAAGATCTTCAGCATAGATCAGCTGGAGTACAGTCTTTCAGCTCACGTCTAAACTGTGCATAAGAGAGCAGCCAAAGCAAAGTCCAGTCTCCTGGTCCTCCAGTCATTTAGAGCACGAACACGCTATCACTTTCCAGCTCTAATACCATGGTTCTCGTCTCATAAAAATGGATGGCAAAAGAGAGTTGTGAGGCATGCCTGGATGTTGTGCCAACATGGAGTTGGGATCATTCAGAACTAAAAGCTGGGAAGTATTTTTCTGGGTTTGGCAATGCTGACTCAGACTCAGATAACACATTCTCTTCCTCCCCACCCATCCTCCACAAAGCACTGCAAGTGTGTTAGAGGTGAGAGAGGTTTATCTAATGCGACTTGACACTAACTATACCCCTCTTTCTGTTACATCACTGATTCACAAACATAGAAGGTTCTGTCAAAATAAATGTTCCCAGGATTTGGGAAAATGCAGCACTGTATTTCTGTTAGTTCTAATATAGATTCTCTTTCAAGTTATGAAGGCTGAGATTTCAACCTCTTGAAATAATTTCTCAGCATATATTTAGAGAGAGTAATATAAAATGAGCAGAGTAAGAAAGTACTACAAATGATAAATAAAATGAGTTTCTCTTCCTTAGCATGATCTGTGACTATCACAAGTTCTGCTTACAAACTTAAATGTTTGTAATAATGATTCAGGTATTTTTTTATAGCCATTTCATACCTTGACATCCCCTATTCGCTATCTGCTGGAAACCATCTGGACAAGTGCATTTGTAAGACCCGTCAGTATTCATGCAGTTTCCTCCAAGGCAAATACCACTGTCTTGAAGGCATTCATCAACATCTGAAATAAAAAGGTAACTTAATTATTAGATGATGTAAAAACTCATGAAACTTTTAACAGCGATACTTTGATACTAACGTAGCAGCTTGAAGCTACAACGTTTAATAACTGTGTGTGTGTGGGAGGGAAATCAAGTTGACTACACTTTAGAACGTCCTTTTAATTTCTTCCATCTTATCATCAAACTTCTTGTATTTCTAGAGAGCTTTAAAACTGAGTTTGTGTTATTTATTCTTAGCAAGCATGTCTAATATGCACGCCATCTGCATCTCTAATGAAAGCTATGGTAACAGACCTTCATACCAATCTCTTTACTTTAATGGTGACTGTGGTGTTACAGCAGTACAATTAACAAGCAAATCCAAGCAGTTGTACGCTTAGAAGACAGACACAAAAAGTGCCTACTAATGCAAATTTGTAGTTTGCAATATGCATCTTTGGACATGTTTAGACCACTACACAGAGATCCCTGAGCCGGAAGTGACCCGACTCAGACGTTCCCCAGAGTATGGGCAAGCCCAAGCATAGCTGGCGTGCCACACCAGACCAGACGTGTCTGTGGAGATTACTCTCAAAAAAACCATGTGGACAGGAGGCTTGTAGGACAGGGACCACACTGTGCGTACTGCTGTGCTAATGGTTGCTTTTTCAGAGGCTTTTGTTCACGTGACGCAATACAGCCATTTCGCAGGCTTAGCAGCTTGGTCATGAAGCTGAATAGCTGCTTTTGCACAGTGCTGCACCCAAGCCGTAAAATCCAGCTCCAGGGTCAAGGCATGCAGGGTCTAGCTACCAGCTGCCTATACACCACGTTCCCAGCACCAAGCCTCAGGACCGTAGACCCTGCCCTAGTGTCTTGACATCCATGGGATAAACGTGCTGACTAACACATAGCAGGGCAAGTTTCAGGATACAAACTACATACAAAGTAATCAAATATTTCAAGAACAGGACACTGGCATTGTCTCCACCTAAAGTCTTTTCTTCCCCAGAGGAAACTAAGCACAGCTGCTGTGGGTACAGGATTAACTCAGCAAGTAACTACATTCCAGCGATATACAGTTTTGTTTCACTACAGCTAAAGATCACAAAGTATTTCATGACTGTGCCTCTAGTTTTAAAAGAAAACAGAAAATAAGAGAGTCAAGTAAAAGAAGCATCTCATAAGCAACTTTCCTTTGCCTCCACATTGCCCTACCTCATAATTCACTGAGTCTATTGCTCTGATAATGCAGATAGTTTCCTTTGAAAAACAGTTATCAAAGAGTTTTTCCGCTGCCTTTGATTATTCTGACTTCTTAAGCATGGATTTTAGCCGATTAGAACTGTAACTTTTTCCTGTGTTGCAGGAATAAATAATAATTGTAATTAAAAAAGAGGATACGACCTCATTTCTCTGCAAAGCCCACACTGTATCAGAGTGCAGCTATCCTTGGGATTTAGTCTATTTAATAAAAATAAGAAATAGGGATAGCTTTCTTACATAAATGAATGTTATTGCAGATAAAACTGCACTTACTGCTGACAAAGTTGTGACCTTTTGATAACCACATGTTTTATAACCATTTTCAACTGAGAAATAAGTTGTGGTTTATTTAAAACAGCAATTAATTTTGACTAGGAGCATGAGAAAAAATTAACGACTCCCTTGCACTGAGTTAATGCCAAGTCGCACAACAAGAAGGCGTCTTCTGCCAAATGCAGTCAAAATGCATTATTTTCTGTACAGGATGCAAACCTCCCTTTCTCTAATGCAACTCTTCATAGGTCCTACGGTTGCTGCACAAGAATCTCCAGAAAAATCAGAGACAGTAACTCATGCTTGAGATGTTCAGTGCTTTTTACCACTCTTTATAGGTGCATGTCCAGAGCATTTTGGCTAGCAAAATCTCAGGCTCCTAGGAGAACACTGGAGCCTCCTATGCTTCAAACAGACTGTTTTCCAGTAACCCAAGTTCTTTGAGATGTACAGTCTATATGCAAGTCCAGCTGGTGCACATTCACACTTCCTGTCAGTTGAGACAAGGCCAATACTTTTTACCCACAGGTGTGCTCACACTTTGTGTTCCCTCATATTCAGAGCAACACAGAGCAGAAAGTCTCAATGTCACTTCATCTCAAGAACAGGAGATGTTGAATGAGAGAGTAAGGCAGAAAGAAAATAAACATGCATGTGGTCATGCATCTTGAAGACTTCTGACTACTAGGAAGTAACCTCCTCTTCTATCTTCAAGTGGAAGGTTGTGCGCAGAAGCTCACCTGTGGATGGTCACATACTTTCAGGCTACTAATTTCCAAGCACATAATAGCAAGTCTCTACAGGTACTGCAGAAGGGAAAAGTTCTTCAGGCTTGGGTAACAGGGTATACAGGCATTTACAATATGAATAGACATACGGATTATTGCTCTCAGACAGAACTGAAGGTATGAAGGCCTCAGTCCAGTTTTCTCATTTTCTGAAGAGTTCAGTGCAAGGATGCATGCAGAGCATGTATACTGCATGTATACACCAATGTATAGAACAACTATTTGCAAATTACCTTTATTCTTAAATAAGTGAAATACTGTGCAAAGACTTCCAGGCACAAACTTCTGCCGGAGTTGCACAAAGCTCAGCTGAAAATGAGCACAGCCAAATTCTGCAGTATCTCTAGAAGTTTGCACAAGTGTATAATGATCAAACCAGCAAACTGCTTCCTGAGCTGCTACATTTTTAAGAAAACTTCTGAAGTAGAAGAAATCCTTATTAAATAAACAAGCACATTTCTTGCCAGTGATTTGCCAATCACATTGGCTTTACAGCCGGATACGTTTTTGGGTATCTTCTGACGTGACAAATGTCCATCCCTGAGTCTTTGAGAAACTGGACAGAATTTGAACCACTCTCTTGTTTTCACACAACTATGCTGTGCTATACCCACGGTTTTTGTCATCTCTTTCCTGCTTTCTCTGTGAAGTGTTAGAAAACATTCAGGTAAATAGGCTAATCTGAAAATCAGAGGCCATCACATGGAGAAACGTTGGATGTCTTCTCAAGGCAATTTCGTCTTTATGGAAGCTCTGCCCTGTAGTCCATGCACACATCTGGCTGAACTAACAGTCAGGAGGAAAGCCATTTTCATGAAGATGGGAATGTGGCTGTGAGGCTGAGGACCTCCACTGATATGAAAAGAATGTGAGACTGAAACCTGTAGTCAACTGAGTTCCCTAAATGTGCACTGAATAATTCAAGGAGCCATCAAAAATAATTATATCACAAGGTCAGGAAAAACAAGACAGGTGAATGTACAGCAGATAAAACAGGCTCACAAAGCATTCTTACTGACAGCAAAACAAGCACAGTCTGTTCAAACTTAGTTTCCAAGGTGCAAAAAGCAGTCTGTAATATCCTGTATTTCAGAAAATATTGAAGGGGTATAATGCAAGCACAGAAGAATTTCTTCCACTTCAAGAGATGAATAGATTTTGTGCAGAACTTTTAGTATTTATTAAAATCTTCAGTAAACACTCTCTCTCTACAGAAATTAACCACTCTGTCACTGGGTGGAGAAGCTGTACATTTGGGACAGACTCTTGGGAATAAGATGAAGACCCTGAGGTGAGGGAACAGCTTTTTCCTTGTACGATCCAATTCCTCTTCTTTTGCCTTGAGAGCTTCAGAAATTATTTTTTCTTGAAAATTGCCCTTGAACAGCATCAAGGAAGAGATGAAGATAAAGCATGGACCTGTCCTGACAGGCCATTGCATAGTCATGGGGAGCGGCAACAGTTACCATGACTTCTTGGGCTGTATGAAATGCACCAAAGCAGTCTGAAGAGAAGTTCTGGAAAACATTCGGTCCTCAACTACAATGGATTTAAATTCATTTCTATATTTCATTTGCTATTCTTCACTACAAGATGGTTTAACTCACCATTTCATACACTCACACATGCTAACAGCATTTACTAATTCAAAATCTTTCTCTGCAGACTTGATGGTTTGCAAGGCTTCTTGTTGAAGGAACCGAAATGCTTGAAACAGTTATGCATCCCACTCTCTCCCATCTCCCTCTCTGCTATGCAGAGGAAAGAACCTTTTCTTGTTTAAGGTGGCCAAGGTAAGAACTCATAAATTAAACTGCAGCAATAGAAGATTACCATCACACGTTTGGGAAAAAAGAAAGTCTAACACAAGGACAGCAAAGCACTGGCACAGGCTGCTTGAAGAGATGTTTAGAATCTCATCTGCTGAAGCCTGCTGAGAGCAGGTTAGATGAGTACCTGTCAGGAATGACAGAATGATACGGTCTGTTATGCCTTTGGGAGGAGGAACGGACCAGTGATCCCTTCCACCCAATGTTTCTTTGATTCTTGACACAATATCTCTGTATCTCTGCATCTGTTGCAACTCATGAAGATCTTGAAGCCAGGTGAGAGCAAAATTCTTTGACACAAGTTTCTAGTGCCTTCCATCATCAGCCCACATTTCTTAAAGCTGATGCAAGTGATGCTGGTATTCACCAGGAACTCTGAGAAGATTGTGTTAAGTTATTCCATGACCAGATTCTCCAAACAGGTCAGTACCAAAGAGTATCAGTGTGCTGAGGAGATTTTATAAGATATCCTTATTCCTTGTTGGTAAGGACTTCAAGAGTTGCTGTCACTCCTTAAACGTGGACAATCCAGTACCATCACTGCTGGTGAAGTCTGGTCTGATATTACAGGTTTGTCTTGAGAAGACAGCATTTGGTTGGCTCAGGGGGAACTGCTCTTCTGCCTGGATCACTTGAAGAGGAGGATTCCTGACCTATTGCTGTGGGTGAGACAGTGGGAACTCCCTCCTAGAATGCTGTGTGGAGGATAACCTAGCAGCAGAGCACTACTAGGTAGAACAGCAGTAAGGAGCTGTGTCTTCCATGGTATCAGCTGCTACAGAAAGCACACCAGAGACTGGAAAGTTTTTATGTGCTAATACCACATGTACGGTGAGACCTTAACTGAGAGTTTTTTCCCCCTCTAGGGTGAGATAAGGAAGCAACTGAGCTACAATCTTTTCTGGAGCTCGCTAGTAAGTAATCTCACATGCTCAAGGTGACCATGAGTAGGTGCAGCAGATGTACCATATCAGGCGGTATAGCCAACAATGGAGAAGAGGGAGTAGCTTTGAAATAATTCACTAGAAAAAAATCTATTTGCCAATTACTGGACTATTCAATTGTTCTACTTGAGAGATAATAGAATGTTTCTGTTTTCTATAACCCAGCATTTCTCCCTACATTTACTGTACATCTTTCACCTCTTATTTTTGTTTTTACAAGCTCAGTATGTAGACTGCCTTCTGAGACAGTGAAAGCTGTGAGCTCCAGCAGATCCCCCTGGAGCTCATCTTATACTATGTATTTTCTTCTGCCAGTGCACATGTGGGATTGTGGTGGCTGGCTACAGGTTCCCAAAACCATCTGGAGAAGTTGTTTTCATTTAGGAGGCCCCCATGTGAACAGTGTATGCTGGCAGAATACTTTTGTAATACAGAATTTCTGTGTCAGAATTTGAGCAACAAGGGTTGGAAAGGATTAATTGTTTTTGGTAATAATGTCAACTGCCCTTCCAATCTTACTGTTGGAAACACATGTGCTGATTTCTTGCACATGGAAAGATGACAGGGACTACTTCTAAGAATCCACTCAATATGTGGCTGTGTAGGTGGGGACTGTTGAATGGTTGACAGTAAAGTATTGAGAAAGAAAGAGGAGCAACATATCTTTCTGTCCCATTCTCAAAAGAGTTCATACCTATAGCTGAAATACTCAAGATCTTATTGAAAAGAATGAATCAGTAGCTTAAGTCCACAAGCTTACCTTCACACTGATCTCCAGTAGATGATAATGTGTAGCCTTGGCTACAAATACATCTGAAAGATCCTTCTGTGTTCCTGCAGCGTCCATTCGTACAGAGTGATCGGTGCTGGCATTCGTCTATATCTGTAGCAGAAGGGACAGTGAAAACATGACACATCTGAAAATACCAATTACTAATCAAATGGTGCAATAACAATTCTGAACAAAACAGCAAAGCAGAGTGTCAATATCCAGTACTGCTTCTCTTGGACTTATTTATTAACAAATGCAGTCAATGTAATGCATAAAAATATACGAAATTGCAGATTGGATGTTTTCCTTGAGGTGACTGCATTCAGCATTCTCTCCTGTAGTGTCAATATATCCCTCAATGCACAAACAGGTACACACAGATACTGCTTGAGAGCTGCTTTTGTTTCTTTTATATCTGGCAAAGGTAACAAGCCAGCAGCTCCAGTGAGTCAGCAAAACCCACAAAATACTTTCCAGCAGGATCACCACCTTTTAACAGGGTGTGGTTTTCAGATGCACACTGACAGGCTGTTCCCCTATTAAGTTGTACCTTAAGGCTCCTTTAAATACTTGCCTTGTAACAGTATTAATCCTCTAAGTATGGGGAAATGTCTCTTTGCTTCCACAACCGCTGCTAATCCCTCAGCGCTTCAGTTCTCATAAACTGGGGTCAGTCTGGGTTAACCGATGGACTTGAACATCAAACTTAAATTTTCCTACGAAAAACTCAAAATACTGGAGGGGAACGGCACTTTGAATTTAGAACATAGCACATGTCTTGTTTGAGCTAGGAAACCTGTTTTCCCTCCCTTATTTATAAAATACTCGTTAAGGAACAGTAATTAAATTGATATGGTAGATTCTTAGTCACTTCTAGGATTTAGGCATGGCTGAACGTCTTTCTGAAAATATACTCCAATTCAAACAGGATAAAGTTACTCAATGAGGTTTTTCAGGTCTGTGTTATGGCTATGTAGTCTGACCTCTTGAGTAATGGTCCCTTGCAACCACAGAAGTTTTGAATTTAAGGATCACTGAAATCTGTGAGGCTGCGTGAAGCATCTGGGCACATGTATGGGTTCTTACTTTCGAAGGGTGCACTTTAAGAAGCGCAGTCTGTACATGCCAGCTCAGCTTGGCAAGGACCCTTGTTCCATGAAAGGCTCAGAGGAAGCAGTCAAACTTTGTCTACATACTTTCCCCAAGACCAGTCTGCTGTGCGTCCTGGACAGCACATTTAACTCACTCAAGACATTTAACTTACACTGATGTTTTGTTTCAAACTTCCTGACAAATTTACATGAACAATCATTTAGTTTTACTGTATTATTTTTAGCACTCAGAAGTCTGAAAGTGTTTGGTGCTATACACAGACACTTAGGGAAGGGTTGGGGGAAGGGAAAAGAAGTAAAACCAACATCTGACAAGAAACACTTAGGTTTCTGCGTGCTTCCACAGCTTGGAGAGATTCTCCCAGATTTTCACCTTTGGGGAGAGGTTTCAGTAAGTCCTGTCTCCCTAAGGAGAGGGACGTTCATGCCTCCTGTACAAACTCCAGGTTCTCTCTCAGACTAGTCCGCTCTGACTTCAGACCTAATTTTGTTCCACTGGAGCAGTCCTAGTGGGAATTTTAGATGTGGAAGAAATGTAGAACCTAACACTTTGGAGGTACAGGTACTGTTCATAGAAATACGACACCAAACTCTCTGTCTACTAAATGTACTACTTGAAATGCAGTGACACCAATGCAGGCATCAGCTCAGTGTTAACTGACACTGCTGGGTTCCAAGAGGGTGCAGCCTGGGTTTTTTTATTCCACTCACCCACATGAAAGAAAAAAAAAGATAGAAAGAAAAGCAATTAAGGCAGCAAAAGCCATTGTCCCCAAACCTCCAAAGTAACAGAAATGCCAAGGATTTTGCAGAAATTCCAATTTAGCAATATAAATATTACTACATGTACTACATTACAACGTGACTTTGTAACAAATGTCAAAATCTACAATGTGACCATGGAAGCCATAAAATGGAAATACATATTCTTACATTTTTGATTATTTAGCTTCAGTGTTGTATCTTTGTTGTTTCTCCATTAAAAGGAATATTATTAGTTGAAAAATATTATCTAAGAGGTAAGTGCAACCTTATGAATTTTAATCATGTTCTTTCCTACCTTCACACTGATCCTCTGATGCAGAGAGTTTGAAACCTTGGCCACAAATACATCTGAAAGACCCCTCCATATTTTCACAACGCCCATTTGTACAGAGATTGCCATACTGACATTCATCTATATCTGTGAATATAAAGAAAGCGTAAGTGTATAATTAACTTGGGTACAACCATCTTTCAGTTGAGCTTGGGAATTTATTCAAATTCTGCCATAAGCGTGGTTAGAATCAGTTTTCCTGTATATTTTGACCTTGACAATTCTGTAGCAATTCTGATTTAAAAAAAGGATTTGAACTTGAGCTGCCTTGTGCTCAAACACTCGACTATACTCAGAGCCTACATGACTAAAACAATGCTTTCATCCCAGTACTGCAAGGACTCCAGTTCAGGCTAACAAACCTTTTTTTTTTTTGAATAGGGGTTGCACTATGAACTAACTGTGTCCACATCATCCTTACCTGAATAAGATTATTTTGCCCATAATTTTCCGACAGTAGCTTAAAGCAGTGCAGCTTTAGTATAGAGAAGAGGTCAGCAAGTGCTGGCACGTTCATTCTTGCATTACACAGATTTACTCTTCGGATATGTACCTGTGACAAAAGCACTAGCAGCTGCCTATACCTTATAACCATTATCACTAATCCTTCTGCTATTGCAAGGAACAGTCCAGAAAAGCAGACACAGCTCATGCTGGCAAGGCTGTGATAGAAGCTGTTCCCTCTGAAACCATTTTTAAATCGTGTGCTCTGGTCAGAATCCCCCAGCCTGCTGCCTCCGCTTGTTTACCTGGAGCTTACCTATGGGTGCGAGGGAACAGGCAGGTCCTCTCAGAAGCTAGAACAGACCTCAACCACATTTTCTGCTGTTGAGTTTTTGCTGTTTTTTAAAATTAGGTCGATTAATATACAGGATTTAGAGGAGTTCTCCAGTGCATAACTAAAGACTCTATATGAAACACATGTACACGTGAGACCTTCATAGATGACATTTTTCAAATGGACAGGCAGGTTCTAAAGGAATTAGCTGACACCTGAGCAATTTCAAGGGGATTTCTACACTTCATGCAGGTCCCTTTGTAAGGCTACTCTATATAAGCAACAAGGAACTCCATTGAATTATGCCTTTATAACCAAAGTTTTAGAAGCAAAATCTCTCTTCCTGGTCACAAATCATCCTTTATTTACAGGAGGACTTGAAAGAAACTTTTTTTCTATAAGCTATCCCATAGACACCTACTTTCATAAATCTCAGAAAGAAGGGTATTAACTAATGGGCCACTCTCTTTAGCCATTGTGAAAATTGCTATGTTACTACTTAAGAATAATTTTCAAGAATTCCTTCTGAATGCAATTTGTATAAATCAACAAAGAAAAAAGCAAACATATAAATAACACCTTTCGTTATAAACTCAGCCAGAATTTATTCAGTATTCTAAAATAATCAGTATTGTCTTTTTCCTAGGAGTGGTTTTCACTTAAAAAAATAAAAGGTTAATTTTCAAATTTTATTTATTTATTTTGGGGATGCAGTTAACAGCAAGCAGGTGTCCCTGTTTGTATGGAAAAAGCTGTATTTTTTAGCTTCACTGATGCAGAAAAAGAATTACACCTTATTTACTTTTATGTGCCTGAAATCATATTACTCCCAATTACCCTGTCTTTTGCCACCGCAAAGCACACAAAATCTGTCAACGTAAAAGAGTAAAACTACTGATTATTTGAGGCACTTGAGCTATTTAGGCAGCTGTAGCACAGGGAGAGCTGGAAAAACACGAGAGGTCTTTAAATCATCATCATAGCTCTTATTACCTATTGTGGATATCTGCAGTAATTATTCTCCTCATATATATTTATCATTCTTGGCTCTTTACAAGCTCCTGTACAATCTAACTTTGACAAAGCCCATCTCTCCCCAGACACAAACAAAATCACCATTATTGTTCATATTTCAAATGACCTACAATTCTTCTTTCCTTACTTGAGCCTCTAACTCTGTAAATAAGATGCCCTGTTGCTGCCTGGCCAAGAACACGATGTGCCATCCTCCCAAGAGATGACAACTCAGATCCACAGGTGCTCTGCTATGGCAGTTCAGTAGGCAATGCTACTTACACCCTTCTGCAAGACTAATTTCTCAGATCCCTACTGTTGCAAAATGTGCTCCCTCAACAAAATGCAACCTTTGCTCTCAATGTATATGATCAATGCTCAAATTCAAGAATTTGTTAAAACACACAGAACCTAATTCAGCAGCCAGGCACGCAAATTTCGAACTGAATAACAAATCTGCTTCTTACAGATTCATTTTCATCTACTTACCTCCAAGCTACTTGAAAACGAAGCCTGCAATATTATTTCTGATATTTGGATGGGACTTGAAAAATCAAGAGATTTTCCCATAAAGCCAGCAGAAAAGCCAGGAACAGAACCTGTATCTGCTGAGATGAACTCCAGAGCTGTAGCTAATTCTACTGAAACTCCCTACAGTAGGACTAGAGATGTATGGATCAGCTCTGCTGACCTGTGTATTAATTTTGAAATCTTCTGATGGGGTCCCTAATGCTGTACAAGCTGAATATTGTTAGTTAACAACATAGTTGCAAAATCCACCACAGTGACAACCATGAGGATGAAGCAGTCTAGAAAGTTTTGTCAATTTAATTTTTTTCACTTATTCGTCAATATACAGAAGTGTGCTCTAGATTCACATACTACTTTATTGTCATTATACATCATGATATATCACTTTATTTGAATGTGCAAATGTGGAGAGAGAAAGATGAAAAAAAACCATGATTGCAAGTAAACTTTTTAAAAAATTACTGCAAATAGTCCCTGTATGACACAAACGCACTGAAGGACCTGGGACAGTAGCAATTTCAAGACAATGAGGTGGCAGGGTGTGCAGGTGCCATTTTTAATTTCTTCCAATATGCATCTTACATGGGATATTCCCACCTAAACTGCAGTTAAATCTATTCTACATAAGTCTGAAGTGAACCAATTGACTTGCCTTTATTAAACAAAAGTAGCTATGTTCCTGGCTTTAAATCCTGGAAGATTACAGTATCAACAGCATAAAAGAACTGTAAAATTGTTACACTAGACTTTCTAGGGCATCAAGTGCAGGCAGAGGAATGAGCCCAGTTACTGAAAACAGCACTAGGGAAAAGCAGCAGAGCTGCAACTGACCTAAACTAACAGCAGAAACAAATTAATTCATGGAACAATGGACTTAAATACCCTTCATAGATAACTTGGGAAATATTTTCCTTTCCAGTGTATTTAAATTGTACCATGTTGCAAAGCTATGGATTTAAGACAAACTCTGTCTGCATTACATTTTCTAAAATGTGTATGGCTCATTTCCAACATGATGTAAGTCTAGGATAAACAGAGAATGAAGACTGATCACATCACTAATGATGTAAGTGAGATGTCTAGGCTTAGAACATTTCATAAAACAAAGGAAAAAGGGAAACTACATGCAGTAATACAAGGAAAAAAAGTATCAGCAGCTTGGAACCAAGACTTATCCCTTACATGACTTAGTTTTGCTTGTAAATCTGAGCAGAGCAGTGACTTCTTTTCTCTCATTCTAATCCTACTAACCTGGTTAGCAAGAAAGAAACAAGTGAAAGTTATGCCATGGCATTTTCAACCAGGCTATTTTCATAAATAGGTATAGAAATCAAGCTTGATATCATGAAAGAATGCAAAATTAAATCAACTTTACATTTTCCAAATAAGGAATTAAATAAGAGGAAACCTTTCTTAACAGAGTGCATGTGCTACATTCTTTGCAAGGGTAGCAGGAATCCAGGCAGGTGGGAAGGAGCAAAACAAAACTAAACGTGTGCTAAGTGAACCACATCAGTTTGCTGTAAACATTCCATAGCTTGTTATAACTCTGTTAAAATCCATGAAATTACCTGAGAAATACATTCGTCCATAATAAGTCAAATGACAAGATCAAATAATGCAGCTGTGACATGCCGATAAATTGCAACAGGCAGATGTTCAGACGGAAATAATTTGCTACAACATGCCTTCATTAGAAAATAGGGTGGTTGAAAAAGGTATCATCTGTAAAGCAAAACCGGTGGTGAGGGTCTGGCAGCTACACCATACATTTTTCAGGTGCTTCACTGCAACCTGGCTCTAGTCTTGCTCCACATCAAAAGTCCATTGGCGGCTGGAGCACAGTGGCTGCCCACCTTCCAGTGCTATTTCAACCAAAAAAATGCTCTTAGACTGCTTGAGGGACTGAAACAAATCACAGCAATTGGGAGCAATTAGGAAATAAGCTATGGAAGTACACTGCCAATGTGACCTACAACAATAATGCAAACACCTCCTTTGTAGGTTATTATACACTCATGTTTAGGTAACATGGTTACTCCAACCATCACAAATTATAGGGCATGTGTTACACACAGAGTGGACAGAAGGATTCATAACAGACAGCAGATCCTTCACAACCGAGGTGAAATTTAAGTTTCTGGTAGTGCCCCAGGAAGTGGCACTCAGAACTGCAAAAGATTATTTCTTTTTGCACAATGGATTAATTTGCTCTTTCTTACCTGTATCTCGAATAGCCAAAACTGATTTGGGGGGCGGGGGGGGGAGGGGGGGAGAATCTCACATTTAAAAATAAATCAACAAAACTATAATGTGAGAAATCTGTCCTAAAAACCTAACCTAAGGTGAGACAAGCTCTTTTAAGATGTGCTGAATGTTTTGCTGGAAGTACAGGTAATTAAGAAGTTGTATTAATATGCTTTGTGAGCAAACTCCCATATCGTATTGAAAAGCCTGCCAGTCACACTGATGTGTTAGCACTCCCATGTTTTTTTCATTTGTTAATACCTCCAAACAATGGCCTACTAGCATTTCACTGATAATACATCCCTTTCAGTTCCATATTTTTTATTTCAAGAATTTTGTTTTGTAATTAGAATTGTATTGTTTGCAGTCTAGATTCAATTGTTCATTTATCTACAGTAAAACACAATTTCCTCATATATACTGTGTCTGAGAACATCGAGTCATTTCAAAAATCTCGTATTTTCAATTATTATTGAATGAAATGGGGACTCAGGGCACAGTGCTGTCATCAGATTGTGACATTGATGGCATAGGAAATACAGCATCTCGGAGACAAGAACTATAACTGGAGATACAAAGAGTACTGAACATACCATGACACTGTCCATTCCAGCCTCTGAATCCCACTCTGCAAGGAATGCACTGGTAAGAGCCAGGAGCATTAATGCACTGTGCATCTGGACAAGTAGTTGGAGTCAGGCATTCATCGATGTCTTCAAAAGAGAAGATAAAAGGAAATACTGGTCAAAACCATAACAAAACACTGAACAATAAACTAATCTGGTTATTCTGACTGTGCTCATGTTATACTAATACATTTAAAGAGTTGCATATTTTATCTGTTAGAGACCCAGGAAGGTACAAGTTCTCACAGATTTGTACCAGCAAAGGGGCATTTCTGAGAAATAAATTAGATCATAGTACACGCAGCTGAATCTGTATTTTCTTTATACTGTGAATCTTTGGTATGTCCTCCATAACATACAGCAGATCAGATTTCTGGCTTAGATAGGCAAGAATAACTTTGCTTACATCACCCCTTTACTATATTGAAGTGTCCTGAGGTTCCTCCTATAGTCAGTCTCAAGAGACTTTGGAAGTGCATTGCAACAACAATAAAATTGCAACTCTGGCTTTTCAAAGCAAAGAGGAATTTGGTATTCTCCAGTGTCCTAGAGTTATGCAGCATGTAAGTATTATGTGGACTGTAAATTTAATTGTGTGAACGGTAATCAAAAATGTTTACAAGGAGTAGGGAGTTAATTACGTCTGAAAGAACAGCAACACACACATCACTGAGGCTGGCAATGTTTAGCGTGATAGAGGGACTTGTTGCATCAGGAGAGGTCCTAGTTTTACCCATGACAAAAAAAGAGATAGGTCCTGAAAAACTCATGGATCTCATGTCCAGGCTCTGAGCATCTACTAATAACTTCTTATCCTGCATGAAAGAAACCCACAATACACACAATATATGCAATCTAAAAGAGACTGCATACAAAAATGACATTCAAAGACAAGTTGCTGTCAAGTGACCAATGATCAGAAGATGCTGGAATTAAAACTGTATGGACAGCCCCATTCCAGTCTGCTCCCATACTTGAGTATCATTTTATAATATGGTCTTTAATTACACAATAATTACAACCTTTCCTATCAAATATTTGCTTCATGCAGTGCACAGAACTAATGAAATCGTCAAAGTCACCTCTAACCCCAGCTTCCTAAGCTCCTGTCCCTTCCCTGCCCCAAGCCTAGCGGTTGTGTCTTCTGCAATAGAGGACTGCTACTCCAGCACAGATAGTACAGAGGCAATTTACTCCTAGTTTTGGGAACAAGCTCACAGAAGGAATGTAGCCTCCAACACTTGTAATGTAACTGGACAATGCTCCAACCTTCCGAGAATTGAACATCCCAGCTCCAAACAACTCACTGGATGTGGGCAAATCACAATTTTTCATAGAATCATGATTGTCCAGCTGAGAATACTTTCCGATAAAAAAAGCAACAGGCCTCTTCAGCCGCTATGATGCAGACCTGCAAACGTTTCTCAGTGAAACTGCTGGGAGATTTTTTTATTTAATTAACAAAAAAATCCACTTCTGCTGAAACCTCAGAACTGCCTGGATTGCCTCAAAACACACAACATGAATGATGTATTTGGTAGAGAAATTTTCAGTCAAAATAAAGTCTAAATGCTGAAAAGCTTAAAGAAATCACAGGAAGATTGTATAGGAATACTTAATCGTATGCAGTGATGATCAGCTATGCCTGTTACAGTGTTCTACATAAACAATAGACTCTACAAAAATAACACAGAATTATAGAATCATTAAGGTTGGAAAAGACCTCTAAGAATATCGAGTCCAACTGTCAACCCAACACCACCATACCTACTAAACCATGTCCCTAAACGCCTCATCTACACGTCTTTTAAGTACTTCCAGGGATGGTGACTCAACCACTTCCCTGGGCAGCCTGTTCCAATGTTTAACATATATGCACTCTTGGGCTAGGCCCACGACAAAGCTTGCGTGAGTATAGCTTGAAGGCAAAATGAAGATGGGGTGAGGAAGTGTAAATGAACTGTGTGTATTGTGTACAGCTTTGAGGATTCTTGCCTTTGTTTTTGAAGTGCGGAGGAGGTGGAAAGGAGTTATTTGTGGAATCTGGAATGTGTCAGTAGGGTAACTATAACGTGTAGGTGTAATGACATGGTGAAATGATTCCCCGAATGCGTCATTTCCTTGGTTTGATGGATTTAGTGTAGGAGGGTTTTTCCGTTAAGCAACCTTAAATAACTTTCAACAGAGAATTTGGTTTCAGAAATTACATATTGTTAAGTTAAACGACAGAGGACTACCACCACACTACTAAATTTACAAGCTAATAAGAAATTCGATGCACTGTGATATTCTGATTTCTAGCCTATTTTAATCACAGATTCCCTACTGACAGAGAAGATTTGGAAAAAGTAGTTGTAAGAGTGGAGTACGTGAAACATTTATTTAAATTAAAAAGAATTGTCTGAATAGAAAGAGGAATCTTGTAGTGATGCTCAGTGCAGCAAATATATCCACAGCAGCTTTAAGTTGCTTATTTGCTAGGCAACCTAACATTTAGCAATTTTGCTCTTTCTTAAGTAACTTAGACTACAGCATGAACAAAACGATGTTTAAAATGAAATGGCTGCTTGTGGTTTTTAGTTCACAAGTCAAGTTGAAAATTAAAAAAGAGAAAAGAACAGCAAAACCAGCACACTGAAAAATAATGTGAAGTTTTGGAGATCCTCCTGCAACATGAAACACCCGCTAGATAATATATTTCCAAATCAAAAAAAAAAGCCAACTGATCATTTGCTACCTGTTATAATATAGGAAAAAATTATCCTTTTTTTTTTTTTAAACAGAAACTTGGGAAAGTATGCAGGGAAGGACTAATAATAAAGTTAAGAGATTCCATGTTAAAATAGCTGTCCCAAGATGGTTCTGTCCATAGTGGGGGAACTCCTTTGCAGTGTCTTAAATCTAAATAATAGGAATTGAATTGCGGTTCCAGACATCAAATAACTGAAAAGATTGGAGAGTACTCAAAAAGGTTTCTTGTTTAAGCTTGCACCCTCTGAGAATTCTCCCTTTCAGCTCAAGCCGCAGTGCTAAGCCTCCCTTGAACAGCAGGCAATATTAATCATTCCAAAGAGAGGTAACATTTGGCATTGTTTTTGGGATACAAATAAATGGTAACTTCACTTCATCATCCAGGACATACTGTAGATAAAACAAGCAATGTCCTTTTGAACATTCTGCCATTTTCAGCTGGTGTACAGGGGGAAGTTAAATGATCTGAAGGCAAATTAAATGAAGAAAGTAGCTGTGAGAGAAATCCAGCAGTAAGATTAAGCTAGAGAAATTACCCATGGAAATAAGCGCAGAGTGGGATGGGGAAAGGGAACTCTGAGCACGAATAGATATAAAACCACTGTGCCAAGACATTCCATCTGAAATCAAATAGCAAATGGAGATTGAAAGGAATTAAAAGAAATATACCAGGTAGAAAAATATTAAGTTAAACATGAAAAAATCTGTGTTGAGTTATTTTAATATTTCCATCTAATGGCCAGATTTCTTAAAAAATAAATAGATGTAAAGTTTTCTGTTGAGATCAGAAACAGCAGTCAATGCGAACAAATGGCTTTTCCTATTGCAGTTGTTTGGCTTGGCAACTGTTACTGTATTACTACCGGTGAAGAGTCCAAACCTACCTTCACATTCACCTCTCCTGTTCATTTGGTATCCACTATCACAATATTCACATCTGTATGAGCCAACAGTATTTATACAAAAGCCCTCCCCGCAAGTATGAGGTCTTGAACATTCATCAAAATCTGAAATGAAAAAGAGAAGTTGAGAGAAACTTTGCTTCACCATGAAATTACTGAATGCTTGCATCTCCCCTAAACTCTGCTGTAATTAAACATAAGTTTGGACTTTCAAGCTGTTTGCAAGCCACAGCCCTACAGCTGTTCTTACTGAGCAGTTCCATCTTTACCTCACTACTTGTAATCACAGAGAGAATGAGATCTAGAAACAACCAGGCTGTAGAAAGAAGGCCAGTGAGCAGCCCTGTGGTTGCAAACACAATGCGTGTCACTGCGTGTATATTGTGCCCACAGCAGCACTAACCTGAGGAAGATCACAGCCAATTCAGGGTGTTTGTATTGCTCTGCAAAGTCCATGGCTGTTTGCAGCTGTATTTAAAAAACATGGTTTGTTACAGCTGCTAGTGATTGAAAGAGTTTTGAATATTTGTATTTTCCACCACAGAAGGTGTTTTACTAAATGGTAATTTTCCTAAACAAGCATGATACTGAATAAATTCTTGTTTTTCAACAAATAATCATTTTGAAAACTAGTAGGAGCTACTCAAATATTTTCTTCACCACAATACCTGGTGAGAGACAGTTAAATACACTTCCAGACATCAGTCCAATGACATTGAGGAAAAAAGCTGAAAAGGGGACTTTAGGAGGTTTTAGATAAGCTGCTTGATTCATTTTTATGTTTTTATTTTCTATAAAGTAGACCAGTAATTACCAACACAGTCGGTTCCATCTTCACTGGCCATGAATCCAGCTTGGCAAATACATAGGAAACTTCCTTCTGTATTTTCACAGCGTCCAAGAGAACAGAGATGGGGTGCCTGATTACACTCATTAATATCTATAAAAGAAATAAAAACATAAGACTATAGAATAACATATTTGCATATTTGCATTCTATGCCATGGTTTTGAAAAGACTGATCTTGTAATTATTTTAACTATTTGAAAAAGTATATGTTTTCCTCTCCCTCAGAGTTGCAAAAAAGATGCATTAAATAGTTTTGGTTGGAAAAAAAAAATGCTCTTATTGGCTTAGACTATAAGAATATTGCATTGGCCTGGAGAATGTGACATGATTACTATTCAAATCACTACACTGAGTACAGGCTGAGCACAAGCTGCAAGCATGGAACATTAACACAATTTGGATGAAATAGAAGGATTTTAAGTTGCCATTTGGCTGTGTATGTGTGTAAATTGTTTTTTAATACTGTAGTTGCACCTGATAGCATGCGTATCAGTGTGAAGTTACTGAACTTTCGGTAGCATGAAAAGTTGATAGTATATAATCTGGCAACATGATATAATAATCTCTTTCTGATCCAAGTTACAGAGGAACCAGCATACTCTGAATGAGGGAAAGATACCGATACAGCCGCTTCCAAATCTGAAATGGCTCATGTAGAGCCAGTCTGGGCTCTGCCTCGTGTTCATCAGAGCCCTCTGTTGCAGAAATTACTAGCTTTGAAGGGGATGAAGACCTCACTTTGCAGATCTCCTAACGTGCTTTTGGGATGTTTACGAATATACTTTCTCTTTTCAGCAGAAGGTTGAAAGGAAAGACCTAATAAAATGACTGGATTTAGTCCAGCTGCAGAGCTGGTAGCTGGGCAAATCATTCTGAGAAACAGGCACTAATTCAGTCATTCTTTCTCCAAACAGCAGTGTATTTCTTCCCAGCAGTCTGGCGATTTTAGATACCCAATATAAAGCTGAGAAGAGATGGTCTGTCTAACCACTTTTTCTCTAATCTCACAATGGGAAAGGTTTTCATTCAATTTAATTAAATTCATGTTCAGTTCTGAGTGGCTGAAAGGCTCTATCAGAGACTAGCTGGCAAATTTTATTTGACATACAAAAACTAGTTTCTGTGTAGTTTTGAAGCATTCAGTAGAGGAAGCAACTCCTGACCGCACTGTAGCATATTTCCCCTGACAAGACTCTACATTTCAAGCATTTCATAGCATGGTTATTTCAGATTTTTGAAAGCGTCCATTCATACCAGAGCACTTTGTCTGCTGATCGTTAAGTTTGTACCCCTCGTAGCAGATGCAAGTGTATCCCACAGGCAAATTAACACAGTGTCCTGCTCCACAGATATCAGGATTAACTGTACATTCATTGATTTCTAAGCAAACAAAAAAAAGTTTAATGTTAAACTCTCTGACATAGTTCAGTAAGTGCACAATATTCTGTAATCCAAGTAAAAAGATCAGGCCTGAAAACAACTGTAAATCAAGTTTGCAAGTCCTGAGTTTCTCTAACGGATACCTTATCTGGAAGAATCTAGAAACCATCTAGGCTTTTCCTAGTGACATATTCTCATGTCCTATCCAAGATCTATAAATGGGTATATAAAAAATAAAGTAAAATGAAGATAATATAAAATAAAAATTTATACTATTTAACCTTTGCATCGAAGGTTAAGATAATAACTGTAGTGGGTTTCTGATTATTTTTACAGAATACTCATCTGTTAATGGCTTGGATGTATTTTGTAAGATACTTACAGTTTTAGAAATTCTCAAAGAATATGTGTTACTGCAAAAAATACTAATGACTGTGTTTAGTTGCAATTTAAACTAAAGTTATACAGCAGCATGAAATGGTAATTCCTGAAAAAGTTACCATCTGTAAAGAAGAATCATTTATCCAGACTATTTAGAAATAGGTTACATTTAAATTTAACTAAATTGTAAAGTACAGAATGAAGGCACTCAAAAACATCTCAACTCTAACTGCATTCATTTTTTTTAAATCCTATTTAGGATTTTGTCCTTCAAATCCTACTTCACTTGTACTTCACTGTCTCTAAAATATCTGAACAACAGTCGGAACTGTATCTGAACAACAGGTTGATTTATTTGTTTATAGCATACAGCAATTTCTAGCTCCACTCCTTTTCCTGAGGAAAGAAAGAAGAGCAGAACATGGAAAACTACCATTTTTTCCTAACTGATGTGAGTACCCTGAGGAAGGGTAACTTCCTCTCCCGGTAAGGAAACAAGGAGCTGGCTGGCAGAAGGGGCACAATCACAGCAGAGATGACTTCCAAATTCTAGTTTGACAATTACCATCAGTAGAACTTTCATATGGGATTGACGAACTGTAATTATAGGTAATTGAAGGAGGCAGCTGAATGCTTACAGGACAGGATACTTTCTCTACTCTTACAGCAGATTCAGGATGATTTAACTGCAGACAGAATTGTTCTTCAAACAACTGGGTGATTTAGACCCTGCGCATGTTGCATGCAACTCAAAAATCCATTCCTGCATGAAGGAAAGCCATCTTTGAAGAGTTAAACTTTTATTAAAGCATGTGCAATTTCTTCCTATGAATGCAAACTGGGAAACCTCTTGGTAGGCCTAGATATCTCTACCATATACAATACTGCATCTCAAAGTATTTACCTGGATATTGCAATTACTTCAAAGCCTGTGTTAATTCTGAGAGACTAGCCAATGTGACACTGTAATGCTGTCATGTATACACACATAGTACATTCACCTTTTTGTTTTCAAATGTACAGCAAGTGAAATTTTCATGCCTTTTGGACACAGCCATCACTTAGACAAGTTTCAGCTATGACAAGAGCATTACTTGTCTTTCTGTTATTTTCACTTCTTGACACATGGATATAGAAAAGGCAACTTTAATACATCAAAAAAGGAAGAAGCACAAACTTCAAAAGAACACTTCAAAATGGATCTCACAATAACTGCTCATCTGCTTTTTGTAGAACATGTTGATCTACATCCCACAAAGTCTACATCCCTCAAAGAACGTGATCACATATACTTCATGAATACATGTGCAGACTGTCTAAAGACGTGACTTGTAGCCAAGAAGTCTTCAGTTCTGGACTTTGGTTGTAGATCATGTAATCGGAGGTGGAATTATTAATTTTTCCTTCTATCATTTATTTGCGGGCACAAAAATGGCAGGTACATCTACATCCTGGGAGGGCCCAGTCCTAGCTCTGTTGACAGTACCCTCATTGCTGTGCTGCTCTGTACTTCCTATCTCCCCCCAGAGTATTCCTTTCTGTTCTACAGCTACATTCTCTTCGCTATTACAATTCAGAAGTAGCATAGAACAAGTTATAGTGTCAGGAACTCGCAGTAATTTCTTAATTTATTTTAGTTCTAAAAAGGAAGTACAATACCTGTAACTTGAGTAGGTGCAATTACTTGACTTGCACTTGAAGTAGAGACTTCAGGAGCAACTTCAACAGGCAGAGGAGGAGATGTTTTCTCAATCACTACTGTGTGACATGGAATGGAAATCAATCACATTCAAAAAAAAAACCCTTAAAGAATTCACACGATACTGAATGAGCCAGACACAATGGAGCTTTTCATTAGTTTATTCTGCTTAGATGTGGAGTAGAAAAAAAATAGTATAATTGCATTTTCCATCATTCTACTGCTCGTGAAAAAAACTGAGGTGCTAAAGAAAGCAAGCACAATAGTAAAACTTTTGCAGCAAAAGTTATGCATAAATCTACAAGGAGGCATCTAAGTAAAATTTCTTCTTGAAAGGGGTACAAGGCCTCAACTCTGCTGACATTAAAATGCTCATATATGTAATCCAGGATATCACTTTTGCCTAAAATATGTCTTTGCCTCCTAACAAGTCATCCAGCCAATGCCAACCTTTCAATTCCTCCCACTTCAGCTTCCATGATTTTTTTTTTCCATATTCTGCTCGTGGAAAAATTGCTTGTGAAGCTGCAATCAGTTTTTCATTAACCTCTGTTACAATTGCTACCTTCCCATTCTTTGAAGAATTGTAAGCACTCTCTCATACTAAAAGACAAGTCAAAACAAGTTACCTGGAAACTGTGGATGCAGGTTAATTGTTGAAATTCCAGGAGAAAGCTGAGGCTGCCCAGGCTCTAGATCAGGCTGCTTTTCTTGATCAAGGGAAGCTAATTCCTGAAAGAATGATTAAAATTTACATTCTGAAAACATTCTCTTAATTTAGCTATCATAACAACCCACAAACTCCTGGCTTGAGAAACTGCTAACATTCTCACATGAGTGGCTTTTGATAGCAGATCATTAATTACCACAAGTTTAAGCCTGAAAAAACATGGAATACTATGTTTACACAATAGCATACAATTTAAAACTGGTTTTATTTGAAGCAGATATTTCATGGAGCTTCTAATTGTATCTTTGGCTTTGTCTCTCCATAGTTCTCCCATCCTCTGGTCTTTAATTGCTTATGAATAGTATTTAATTGCAGTTCAGCATCACACAAAAGTATACAATCACATATGTCTCTAAGTCTTTGACCACTGTGAAAGGTTCTCTCTTAGCTATTGCACTGATCATCTTTTTTTCATAAAAGTGTTACATGCTTGTAAGTTTTAGGAAAATGAAGTACAGCTGCAGTTATTCCTAATGAATCCCATGATCTTCAGCACAGAGAACCTGGAACCTCCAGAATGGGGGACTTAACAGACATACGCACCTGCTCTTCTCTACTGAATACACAGCAACCCTAAAAAAACTAGGAAACTAACTTGGGCACTAATACAAGTCTCTTAAGCAGGTGTCACAAATGCTTCTCAAAGCTTCACACTGTTTCTCTCCAACTCATTTTCTCTAGCTGGCAGTATCTGTGGCTCCCCTTCACACTGTCTGCATTTTTCAATATCCTCTTTAAAATACAGGCTCCAGAATGGGATAGAACAATATAGTACTAGACAATCCACCAGTGCCCTGAAGAAAGGTTAAAGTAGCCTCTTTCCTGTACCTCACTACCTGCCTGTTGCTGCATATAGTAATAACACGAGCTCTTTTTGCCTCAGGGTTTGCATTGTAAGTCCACAGTGAGTTGTTTGTTCCTCATAAATCCTAAACCCTTTTCAGAGTTATCGTATCACATCTCGTACACATGGTCTACATTCTAATTCCTAGATAAATCACATCATGTTTTACCTGATCAGGGGCTGCAGTTGCCACTAAAACCAGAAAGAAAAAAGAAAATGAATCAGACTTCACATAACATTTACTTACACATTCTACTTAAAACTAGTAGCACATTTGAAAGTGGTTGTTGCCATGGCAGAAAAATTTCAGGCTCTAACATCATTCCAAAATGGTGCAAACTTGAAGTAATGTTCCTGAAGCAAGTATAAAAACTAACCTGAAACCAGAATAAGATTCTATACACTGACCAATGCTTGTAATTATTTACTCAGTATTCAGCTGCCTTACAGGTTTCTCAATTGTTTCCTTAGAAATAATCCAAGAAACTCACAGGTTATTAACTCACTGATAAAACTTCTTTAATTCCTTCCAAGGAATATCAACATCTGTAATTATTTTAAAGGTAAATTAATATCTTAATGGTATATAACTAACCATTAACAAATTTGCAAGAATTTATGGTTTTAAAAAAAAAGTTTTGAAATTTGCCTTTTCTTTAAGCAAGCAAAAGTGGTTTGTTTGTTTGTTTGTTTCTCCATAAAAGGGACTTTTTTCTGGGAAGGAGAGGTAGAAATTTCATTTAAGTTTTTATTTTCCATTGCAGTTTGCCTTTTTTGAATTTGTCTTTTACTGATGAAAATCTGTATGGTTCTGTAAAAAACTGTAAGAATATTTTTCTTTTCACAATCAACTTTTCCCACAGGATAGATTTTTTTTTTTTTTTTTTTTTTAAGAAAATCACTCTTCTTGCTCTAGTTTCTTCAGCATTAGCAGGGAGGCTGATTATCAGAACTAAGAGAACTTCTAATAAAATCTCAAAAATTCCAAATGCAAACATATCAAAAAATGGAATATAAAATTCAAATGTGTGTCATTACTGACTTACGAGTAAGCATATTTTTTTAAAGTTCTTTATTTAAATAAACAATACTCCTTTTTTCCTCCAGATTCTCTGTGTTTTAAGATTTACTAGAATGTGGCAATCTTTCTAATTACTGACGTAGTATTTTAGCAAATGGTACACCACTTTTTTCCACAGAAAAGCCCAGAGGTTTATGTGAGATTTTTTAATCCAGCACAGTCTGTAAGTATATTTGAATGGCTTATTTTTCTCTCCAGATTCAGTTTAGCTCCATTTTCTTTTTGAAAGAAAACTAGAGCAGTAATTTTAACTGGAAAGTAACCCATGTCGCACAGAATTTTGCAAAGTCAGCTGACTGAAACTTTCTAATAATGGCCTGACACACAGATACATAACTGCTACTTGGAAATAACCTACTAAGTACTCAATATCATGAGAGGGTTCTTCAGCAACATATTTCTTCTTGTCTACAGTTAGTTCATGCCAAGTTTGCTGGCAACGTATTTATAATAGTGCTGCTTTCTGCATTTCTTTGCTTCTGCATTTGTTTTAGACTCAGGAAAATTTCGGCTGCTGCAAGTTCTTAGTGGAGCTTGCAGAAAACAAAGTCTGAGAAAAATATCTTAGAGGAGTCAACTAATTGTTAAACAGCCCAGCAAAGAGGGGCTGATCCAACACGGTCACACCAAGGGAGTGCACAGCTGCAGGGGTGAGAGTAGACCACATGAAAGGAAGCATGCCCACATCAGGTGGTGCTAATCTACAGGAGTATATAGAAGGAAGATGATGAAAATCCCTTAGTTTCTGCCTCCCCAGATACTAGTAAATCAAAGCCTGAGTTGAGTCCTTTGTTATATGTTAGAGATTATAAATACCTTTATAAAAGTCTTAAAACAAATATTTACTATTTAGCATAAAAATTAATGAGATTAAAGCAGTCTCTCTCTCTCCACGGTGTTCTCAGCATTTGGTAGGAGCTATACATAAAATTTCAGAAGTAAATCATGTAACACAATACACTCCATCACATGGAACGCTCTGCTGTGGGAAGTGACGTCTCTTTGTCCTGCACTGTATGCAGCTACTCCGCAAAGAAACATACCATTGAAGACACATGCATAGAAATATAGAAAGACTAAATTTTCCCACTCTCACCTTCTTGCACAGCCATCTCAGTCTCACTTTTCTGTGAGAAGGTCAGTGCCTCCACTGGCTCTTCCTTTGCTGGGAGAGGTGGAGGAGAAGTACCTTTAGCAACAGGTTGAGTAATCGGGGTCTTGCCAATGACAGGTGGCTGTACTCTAACTGCAGGGTGATGATATAGCTTGTTTCTGTGAGGGCCAGAAACCGTATAACCCATTCCACCAGGGCAGATTTCCTTAAAAGCAGCTAGATTTGGGATGGGAAAATATTCCTTTTAGGAGTCTAAAAGTGCAATATGTTGACATAGTGGAAAATATAATGACTACCACTAATAAATTTAATCTCATATTGTATACACATTTTTACAAAAAAAAAAAAAAAAAATTTAAAGACAAGCTATGCATTGCATGCTAATATGACTGAGCATTCTCCCAAAAGCATGTTCTGGCTGTTATTCCGAAGAAGTTTCCACTTCAGTTTACCATCTTTCTTCAGTTATGTTTAGTCTATCATTATATCAAGATAATTTTTTGTATTAATCCTCTTCAAACAGTATATCCTTTCTGAACATGAATTTAAATGTGCAAACTGTCATCATCATCTACATTGCATAAGGAATGAACATCACTATTTCTATCATTCTCATTTTGCCAAAACCAAAGGAAAAAAGCTCACCACCCTGTACCAGAGGAGCAGAAGAATATCAACAAGCAACAACATTCATTCACAGGATCCCATCTGACTACATCTGAGGTCTCATACCAGCCCTGATCCAAATATCCACTGAATTGAATAAGTCTTTCCACTGACCTCAGTGGGCTGGATAAAAACAAGATGGGGATCATAAAAAGCCAAATCACCACTGGAAGAGAGGGGAAATAATCTCATTCATAAAGCTGCTACAGAAAAAAGTAATGAAAGTCAGGCAGCAGCACCTGCTCTGATCTCTGCAGCTGCTCTACATGAGCATTAGGTTTTGCAGTCCTAGTGGAAGACTAGAATGAAAAAGAAATACAGGTCAACCTTCCGCCCCATCAAAGATAATAGCTATGGGAGACCTTCAGGAGTCTTGAGGGGGCAGTGCTTCATTGTCTTCATTGCTCTAGGTAAAGCTATGTTGCGATGAAACACCAAAGATTGTCTCCCATGTGCTCGATGTGATTTCTTACAGCTTCTTAACAGATATGCAGAGTGGGGCATTGGTAGTTCACAAATTCTGCTTTGAACACATCAGGGTTTTAAAATGAATTAGCATCTAAAATAAAGCCACAAAATACTAGCTATAGGTACTCCACAGATCAAGCCATTAAGTTATACATTAAATTGCAGTATGCATTAATTGCATACTGTGTTCTGATAGCGTCTTAGTAGTAGAAAAGATGAAGGATCAAACTGATCAGATCGAGTGGATTCAGAATGATTAAATACTTTTTGTTGGAAAACGTTAATATCAAAACTTGCCACAGAAATACCCAACTGAGGGTGGGAATTCTGGTCAAAGGAGGAAGACAGAAAAAAATTTGACACCTGTACCTTCAGATGCATACTCAGGATGTAGGAAATCTTGTTTCAGGTCATATTCTCTCAAATGCAAAACAGAAATGTGAGCTTTATTCTACCACAGCTCTGATAAGTGGTCTCAACACCTGGGTATACAAAGCTGGCCTCTCTCAGTCTCTCTTTTGGAGCTGGTCTACTTTGTACAAGTATTTTAAAAGCTATCAGAGAGTGAGATCATTACTTTTTAATTCAATGACTCTTTAAATTAATATGGGATGCTGCAGTAAATACATTACCCCATTCTGGAGTATCCCACTTTCACACATTTTTCATAGAAAACTCTGAAAGATTATGAATTTAACCTGTTACAGAAAGGAACATGTTTTTAAATCATGAAAGTTGTCACAAAATAGGAAAAGTGTTTCCCAAACAGATCACCAGAATTTTCTACTCTCAAATTTTCTCTCTGATGTCTTTTCATTACGAAAAATCACTAAAATAACCAATTCCACATAATATTCAACGATGTACTTTTTAAGATTAGAGAGCAGTCAACTTTGCAAAAAGATATATTCTCTGCTCCAGAATACACACAATTAGGCATAAAGCCTCATGCAATATTCTCATAGATGTAAAGCATCTGCATTTAAATTGCGAGTCATCTGATGAGACCATATTTTTTTATCCATTAAAAAGCCATAGAAATATTATTTATCTGAAAGTGAACTGGACTTTCAAAATCCTTATCAGTGATCTAGCAACCCAATGGTCATGCAAGAAATAATGGCTTTAAAAAAATCAATTGAAATGCTCAAAAATGTCGGTCACTTCCATTTCTGTAAGCCCAACTTAAAAACATAAGGAATCTGCTGCTCTCATCATGAGATGTCTCTGATGCTAGCTAGTTTTGAAAATCTGAATCTTTATAAAATACTCCAGAGAAATACATGACCTGTATCATAACAGTGACACCTGCAGCAGCAACTTCAGTAAGAACAGTAGATTACCATTACAAATACCTCTGCTAAAATACTGAACAGGCTGTACATCATGTATATTACAATAAGCAATCAATGCTTTTAAAAAAGATGAATTTGACCATACATTTGGACAAAAAATAATATTCAATTGATTTTGACTAAAGACTCCAACTTTGGTCATTTAAGTTTTAAGCAAAATGAGGGAATAGAAGGTACCCGAAAGTAGCAATCAGTATCTATAATATGTGGTACCTTAATCTATGAGCAGCCTAAATGAGGTGACCAACCAAGCTGGTATTTTGCAAGTCGTTATATATATAAAAACCAGTAGGACTCCAACTGAACACCCATACAAGCAAGCTTTATGCATTAAGTAAGGAATTGTTTAAGTGAAAGGTGGCACGAAATGTTTAACTACCAGTTTATTGTTAAGGCGGCAACACCATACTTAGCACATTCCTCAAAATGCATGGTAAAGATATGAAGGAAGGTTAGAAAGCAGAGATACTCCCATACGTATCCCACTAACTGTAATGTAAACTACAACACATGTAGTTCTGTAACCTAATTCTCAAAAGCTGCCATCCTTTCACCAGTGCCTTTAAGAACTGAAGAATATTAATTAGGTTTTGGGTTAATTTGCCTGTATCTATAGTCAGAATATAACATACAATAAATTTATCTTCATATGATGGAGAACCAAAGGACATATTCTGAGATGCAAATATTGTTAATCTGGAATCCTATCACAACATATCAAAGATAATTCCTTTGTTTTAATCACAAATCCCTATGAACAAAACTACTATGTATGTCATTATTCTGCTCTCATATAGCGAACTGTCATAATTTACTGATAGACACTTCTTGTTTAAAATCAATTCTTGGATTTTTTTTTTTTTTGAAGCATGCATAACAAACATAGAATGGGGGCAAGAGCTTGTATTTTTAATGGGCAGTTCTTACCTGTTCCTGGAAGCGGACACTTCTCACAGTGTGGGCCCCAGGCTTTGCCAACACTGCAACAGCAAAGCTGCTTGCTGAGCTGAACAGAAAGAGGATGCATGCATTGCTTTCCTGCACTAACAAACCGGTAGCAGGGTCCTTTCTCTTCAGCAACTATAGGATTATCAGCTGCAATGGAAGTGGAAGAGAGGATGGTACTGTTCACATGAAAAGTAAACCAGAGAAACACCACTAGACTTCCAATACCAGTTAAATGGATTAATATTACCATCTGCACAAGTTTTATTTCAAAAACATAAAAGAAAATTCTTATTTCGCATGAAACACTCCTGAATTCCACTCATCCTAGACCAAGGATAAAAAGTATTTTAAAGAAAAAAAAAAATTTCCAAACCAGCAGTTGCCATGCTGCCACAATAAAGAGTCAGAATCAGCTCTCTCACTTGTACACAAGTCCAACTACTGAAGACTAAGGTCAATCACTAGCAATATGTTTCAAGCTACATAGCCACTGGAACATTCAGCTGTAAGTAGGCTATATAAATAAGACTGCAAAAGGATTAAGTATCACACATGACTTTTTTTTATAAAAGAGACAATTATATATTTACATTTTGTTACGATTAGTTTTAATGTGGAAAAGCCAAAGGCCATAAGCTATGACTAGTATGAGGATACAGGAAGCTGGGATCCATCCAGCTTTCTAATTTATGCATCCACATTCACATACAGTTAACAGTTCTTGGTAATATGTTCACTTAACTCAAAAAATACAAAGACTATCTGATTTTCAACATGACATGTAAAAGCAAAAATGAAAACCAACTCCTTTTTTCTGGTGTTAAACTGAAAAGTTGTAAGAAATTCTTCAAAATGCTGAAAAACTTTCTCAGTAATTGAGTGTCATTAACTAGCAGCATAAGATAATTATGCTGAAAAAATGAAAAAATTCACCTACAGCTCTAGACTATATTTTATAAATCTAAAGATAGCTCAGATAAGGAGCTTAGGAAATGAGCTATTTTTCACTAGTAAATATACTTCCCAAAAAACTTAAGGTGAGAAATTTAGTTGTTCTCTATGTCTTCTTTTCTTCTTGCAAAGGTAGTTGATCTCAAACCAAGTAAAAGCTGATTAACAGAGGAAAATATTTGCATTCATGCTGTTCACAACTTTTTCTTTCTCCTAATTCTTTCTTAATTTTTAATCCTTCTTAATCAGAAGGAAAATGTGCCAAAGATCATCCTGGGCTGAATGTTTAGTAATGGAAACTACCCAGGTCAAAGCCGCAGAGATGGAAGAGGGGAGGGCAGGACACAAAGATGATTTTGGCTGGGGAACTAGCAGAGAGGGGAAAAAAAAATTGTGGGAAGGAGAACTCCAGGCTGGTGAGAAAGACTGAGTGTATGAGGAGGCTCGATATGGCCTTGAAGGTTTTGTGACAAGAAAACCAGGAAAAGATGGCAAGGATCCTGGACAGCCATTGGTGGAGACCAAGGCTTCCAGGACAAAGAGAGAAAAGAGGCATAAGCACTGAGACTGACTAAAAGTGAGCAAGCTGAGAAGAGGAGGCAGGGACAGCAAAAAGGACAGGGACAGCTTAGAAGCATTGGGGCCAGTCAAATAAATCCTCATCTAAAGTGCAACTAAGTATCTATTTTGGTACTTTGATTAGTACTATTACTTACGTATGCATCTTGAGAAGGTAGGATCTGGCACAAATCCCATTTTGCAGGTACATCTGTAGCTGCCCATGGTATTCAAGCACTCACCATTAGGGCATACTCCCTGTAACTGACACTCATTGATATCTGTAGGAAAATTGAAAATCATCAGATACTGAAACATGTATTAATATTCTTCTTTCTTTAGAAGTGATCTTACCATTTTTTAAATATGTGCAGGAGAACTGTTACGAGTTAACATGCCAATCAACACACTTTCCCATACTGACAACATTTGATTTATAACCTTTTAAAACACTGCTGAGAACATAACAGAAAAACAATTACATTTATACATCATTCTCAAGTACTCTGAATTAAAAAACAAATACACTTCGACTGGCTTATCAATCCCTCTTTTCCTGACTAGATGATTGCTTGTGCAGTCAAACACAACTCACAAGAACATTCACGGAGACAAGTTTTAAGTGATGTAGTATATTTTATACAGGATGGAAAACTGCTTGACACATTTAATACAGTTTTTATTAGTATTTGTATTCGGTAGTGCCTGAAGGTTCATTCTGCTGGAAGAAGCACTATGCAAAAACACCATCTCTAGCCTAAAGAGTTTACCATCTTAATAGCAAGAATATGCTTCAGGAAGCACAGAACACACGTGATGTGGGGCAAGAAGGATTGCGTCTGTGGGAACACAACTTTGTAATAATTAACAACTGCTTTGATAAAGTTTGCTGTTAGAAGGCTACCTGCATCAGTGTCCCTTTCAGGGTCTCACTGAATTATTCTCCCATGCCCCAAGCATTGGGCCTCAGGCCTTTATCACACTTCGAGTTGTATCTATAATTCACTTACACTTAGAATAGGACCTGTCTGACAATCATCTGGATACCATCTGTAACTAAGTCAGCCAAACTAGGATTTTATTTGAGGAGACTAACAATGTAGCTTGCAGTGATAATCAGATCCTTAAAATAATAATAAAAAACCCCACCCCTTCCCTACCCTATAATTGCCTCTGTCATAAATTGTCATGTCTCCTCTTTCAGAAAAATAGAGACAGCACATTGAAACAGACCTACTTTAAAATGTTTACGTGCATTATTTCTACTTAAGAATTTCTCTCCCTATCCCTAAGCTAGGAAAAAATGCCTACCTTGCTGGGTAAACAAGCTTTAAGTGAAAGTCAGATATTCCAGCTAGCTCCTTGGAAATCAGGTATTAGTGATCTTTTTATCTAAAATATATAATATTTATTACCTTTCCTCTTAGTTTTTAATAAAACCTTCACCATTTTATTTGACCTCATTGTATGTTGCTGCCTGATTCAACACAATCAATGAGGGTAAGAAGTTGAATATGTAAAATATAACAGATGAGCTGGAGTTTGCTTTTGGAAACCCTCAGAAAGAATCTTTCACGTTCCTACCTTCTTCTTCATTTTTCTCCACAAGTTTGGCTACCTGTCCCATTACACAGGAGCACACGACTTAAGCTCACAGTACAGCAGACTCTAGCAGTTGCCATGTCAGCCACAATTTTTTCAAAATATTCAGTGTTAAGCTTATCCCTCAGCTCGTCCAATGCTATACCTAATCTAGTATCTTGACACCACCTGGATCAACTTCACCTCTATGCATTTAGCCACATGTGACAAAGAGTGATAATTTATATCCTAGAACTTTGGATGAAATGTGATGGAAACGACATGAATTACAAAGGATCAGCTCTGCCTCAAAGGAATTTTCAAGTGAAATTCCCAGACTACATGACTTTCTGACCTTAGAGGGAGTGGACTATTGAAAAAGGAGAATGGTATAAGAAAAGAGCACAAAAACCTGCTGAGATATTCTCCTACAGCAGTCTACCTTTTGACCCATCCAATCTTTGAGCAGGAAGATGTCCCATATAAGCACAGGAATACCTTATTTAAGGACTACACTAATACAGAATATTTAGTAAGCAAGACTTGTTCTGATGCATTCGATGAAAATTTTTTTAGACAGTTTCTTCAGTTGCTTAGTCTGACTAGGTTCTTTCTTTTGCCCTGAAATCTCAAAATATGATTGAAGGCATCTACAGAGTGCCAACTGATCCCAAAAGGAAGATCATCATTGTTTTAATACCATTATCTTTTGTCACTATTGCGAGGAATGAACTTAAATTTAAATCTTAACAGGTAGCAAACTAAAGACATTATTGAAACATCCCTAAATAAAAACATATTGATGCTGTTGTAAAGTTGTCAGGAGGAAAGGACATATTGCTAACCCTCCACCTTCAAACATCAGGCATGACAAGGAACATAACGGAGGAGAAGACTATGAAATACCTAGAAGGTAATACAAAGCAAATACTGGAACACTCAAGAACCCACTATTGAATTTTCTACCTGTACTCAATTTGGGTTGTCAAATCAGTCCTCAAATGCTAAACCATGGAACAATTCTACTTGCTTTGATGAAGCACTAACTCTGTCAACAAGTTAGAAGAAGAGACAATATGCTTTACTCTGAATACAGGAAAAATCTTGATATCCGGTTTCATTTCAAAATGAAAATCCTCAACACAATTACACGAATTACACACACACAGACGTGCAAAAAGCACATATAGATTTTGGAGGAAGAGGGAAAAACATAGGAGAAATTAAGAGATGGGAGAAAGAAAATATCAAGAATTAAAAATTAAGATACATCTTTTTAACAAGGACTGTGCTCTTTCATTCTAATCTGACTTTTGCTTTTTATCGTTTAGTATTAGTTACTCGTTGGTGTTACATTGGTACATATAGTGAAAATAATTGCTCACTTTCTACATTGTAATAGCCAGACATTTTTAAAAAACTTTCTCCCTTTACAAATTCTAAGTATACATTTTTATTTATAGGAAAATTAACCTATACTACTGGGAAAAAAAAAGGAAGGTATCTCCCAGGGGACATATATAACACACTGCTTTTTCTTGTCACTTTTTCTGGAATATATATCCATGTAGAATTAGCAGAAATGCTTTGTCTAGCGAAGACAGCATTTAAATTTTAAATCAGTGAAAAAGACAACTTATTTTACATAATAGTAATTTGACTTTGATTTTATAGTTCTTATTTTCAAGGTAATAGAAAGACCAGGTCTCTTGTTTGTTAACTATTAAAATGCATTGCTATTTGCTTATGTGTAATCATTATGAAAAATTTGGCACTTTTCCTTCCTATCTAAGAGGATAACTCTACTATTCTACATGTATTTAAGCAAGGTAAATAGTTACATAGCTTAACATAAGTGCTTTCATAGTTGCAATATGTAAAATTATTAATGACACATTTTAATTTATTAGATGATGTATTTACTCATTGTTTGCATCAAGCTTCATTTTAAGGAATGTTAAAAATCTATATATGGATAAATTTTATTATTTGAATACTGAAGGTATATAGGCATGTAAAAAACAGAAAGTAAAATCCTGCAAAGACACAGGTAGATAAGAAGAGGAAAAAAACACTTATGAAACCTGCTTTCTAACTTGAATTTGAATCATTTTATTCACAACGCTAGTATTATCTGTACTACTCAAATGAACCATATCTTTTAAGTTTGTAGAACTATACCTGTATGTTGTGGAAGGAAAAAATAGTGTCTGCTGTTATAATTCTCAAGCAGTTTTTCAATTTTGTATAACTTAGAACTAAAATGCATATATATATATATTTACAGTGAAATGAAGGAAAAAACTGTTCTGCAGAAGGGGGTACAAAATCTGACTTTACACTTAAACAAATTCTAGTTACGGGTTACAGACTTCAACTAGCTGAGTGATCTTGAATAGCTAGTATCAAAACTGTGCTATTTGGATTTTATAATGAAATTTTTTTTAACATAGCTTATATTTAAGTCTTTATACAGATAAACTGTAATTGTGAATTTTAAAGTAAAATGAATTTAAATATCATCTAAATAGAAATTATGCATGTTTTTACAGATCTGAACTTTATTTCATGTCATTGCTGAGAAAAACTGGCATAGGAACGAATCGGACGCATTTAGTGATACTGGGAGAATCCTGTTTTAGAGTTTTGCCTACTAATAGTGAAGGTTTCATGGCATGATTTACTGAAGCGGCTAATTTACAGGTAGATGGGATCTTCCTATAATTTATCAATACACAGTCATCTTTCTTTCCAAATGATTCAACTATTCTGCAGGAAACATTCACAGGTGCTTTCATTACTGACTCTCTATTAAATCTCTTTCCAGATGAACTGTTATTGTACGTTCTAGTATTTAAAAATATAACACCCCATTCACATGTACTCTGTTATTGCTATTTAATGTGGACACTGCTATATTTAAGTACCAGCTTATATGTATGCAAATACCAATGAATGTTCCTTCTAGAGTTCCTAATCTGGGTATTTCTCTTGCTAAATTTGTCCAGTTTTTGAAGTTAACTTTATTGTGCATGTTCTGATGCCTCAGCATAACTTAATTATAGTGTATTTTTAATGCCTCTTTTCCAAGTCATGTCTTCTCAATGAGCTCATAGAATTACTGAGCTGATGCTCTATGCTGAATTATACAAGCCTATCTAGGCATTCAACAGGAACAAGCCACAAGTTGATTAAAAAACCCTTCAAATTTTCAAAAGAAAAATAAATACTATTCTTACATGTATGTATGTAACAACCTTGGGTAAAAAAAAAAAAAAAAAAAAAAGATGAACAACACTCCAAATTTACTATCTACTTCACTTTATTTTAGACTGTGGTAAGAGGCCACCTACCCAAACTGTTTCCTACCACCTGCCAGCCTGCCCAGCTGTGCAAATTGCACTGGAATCAACTTGTTCAGGCAGCTGGAAAAGAAATCTGATTCAAGATTAACAGACCTTTTTTTTCTTTTCAGCCCTCTATTTCTTGCATATGGGCATAAAAAAATATTTCAGTTTTAAATTCGTTTGCTCCATTGTAAAAACTAGAGAAAAAGCTTTAAAGTTGTATGAATAATCTTTTGTTGTGCAGAAGTACGAACTGATGACATGTTTGTAGAGTGATTTGATCGAACACTTTCATCTACACAGAGGAAATATTTTAAGGGGCTATGTAGCAGTACCATAAAACCATACATATG